CGTGGAATATTCATGCCCTCATTGCCGTGCGTCGCCGTGCCTTGCCGTGCTGCCGAACTCGTAGCAGGGCTCGGCCCGCTAGTGTGTGGCGCGGCGGGGCGGGCTCGGCGCGGCGCCTCTCTCACGCACGCACACACACGCAGTCGCCACGCACACAGACACGTGCCGCGGGGCGGATGAACTTCTCGCCGCTTGACCCTGACAATGAAGAGGCGGCGCTGGGCGTCGCACGCTGCATGTCCCTGCACACATTGCAGTGGCGAGGCATGGCCGAGGCATGGGCGAGGCATGGCCGAGGCATGGCCGAGGTCACCCCCGCCCCCTCTCTCTTCCCGGGTCCGCCCTGCCTGGCCCAGCACCCAGGCGACGCGCGTATTTAGGAGCCGATTTTAATGCGTCGGCATGTCTTCCTCGTCTTGCCCGTGTCTCCCCTGCCGGGGCGGCCCGGCAGTGCTTTCGTCGCTCTGGGGGGCAGCTCGTGCAGGTGCGAGAGACAGAGAACGACTCTCGGTGAGCTGGGTCTGCCAGGGTCCTCCAGGGCGTTGGCGGTCCTTTCTCTGGGGCTCCGCGTTGCTCGCGTCGCTCGCGTCGCTCCGCGTCCCGTCCGCGGCTTCGCACTTCGCTTCGCGGTCCGGCAAACCAGTTTGTTAAAAGGGGCCATGCCACCGCCACGCCGTGCCGTGCCGCGTCGCTGTACGCGGGGCCGCCCTGGGGCCGCCGGCCGGCGCTGCAGCCACTGCAGAAACTGCCTGCCTGGCCGGCTGCCTGGCCGCCTGCCTGGCCGCCTGCCGGAGGGCTGCAAGCCTGGCTGCAGCCGGCCGCTATTTTTAGCCCCGCACTTGCTACAGATGAGGCGGGTATTTTAGGAACCTTTCCCGAGAAAGGTGTCAGCAGGACCGGTGGTCGGCCGGTCATCCGCCTCCAGCGGTACACAGCCAGCGTCTCCGTTCTTGAAGGCGAGAAACGACGTAAAGAGATAGATCCCTTTTTCGGCCCAGCGGCTGTCTTTTTCCGGGGCGTCCTATGCAATAACAATCGATTTGGAACCGTCATTGATTCATGACGTCTTAAATTCTGCTGGCTAGCAGCAGGACGCCTGCGAGGTGGGCCAGCCCGCCGCGCAGCGGTGCTCGCATTGCCTACCTAGCAGGCGCTCTGCCCGCGCGTCACCGCCTCCCGGCTTTCCTCCACTGTGGATTCCCGAATGTAATTCAAACCGGGCTTCCCCCGGCCGCCGTCAAGGCTGCTCCTTTCATCGGCATAGGTTCATGCCTGGAGCCAAAATATTTGTTTGTCCGTTTCCCTTCTGCGAACGCCTCGCTTCAAGTCAGACGGGTATCGTCGGGGGAGCCCCAGTCCAAATCCAGTGCCAGGTTGCTGCTCGGCCTCGAGGGCGTGCGGGGAGTGGGAAAGGGGGGGGGGAGCGAAATGTGTCGCGGACGAAAAATGAAGCGGGGAACCACAACCGGGCGAGCGACCAACGCCGAATTATTGAGCAGCTGGAGCAGAGCAGGAGGTCGAGTTTTCTTTTCACCCTGGTTTTTTTGTACTTTATTGTTTTTTTTCTTCGCAAAATAAGTTTTTGGGGATTATTAAAGTCTACTGTCTCCTGAGAATTTTTTTAAGTGCTTCAGAAATTCGTTTTAGTTAGCGGGAAAATAAAGCAGTACCTCGTGACATGAAGTGCGTGAAAAAAAAATTGGCTCGTCGGTTCCCAAGTCGATTTCCTAGTCGGTTCCGTTACCGTTAGCGCCGCGACCCTCGACCCCCCCCCCCTCTCTCTCCCCCTCCCTTCCCTCTCACCTCCTCTAGCCAATCCAGCCGGCCATTCCCCTTGAACCCAGCGGGGCAATCCACTTCAATCAATCAGCCGCGTTTAACGATGACACATTTTTCAAGATAAGAAAAAATTAAAAAAATAAAACAAAACAAAAACGCATCATCATCATCCTCGGCGTAGTGGTGGTGCTCGTCAATTTCAGCGACGTCATCATCGGCACGGACGCGCCACTGTGCGAAAAAAAAATGCTTTGGCGGGACGCCAGGGCGATACTGAAACACATACGAAAACTCTTAACAAGTCTTGACCACAAAGATCGGCGCTCCGAGTGAAAGTGACCGACCTCCCGGCGACACTACCGCCACCGCCGCCCACCAGCGGCTAAGTGCGAACCAGCGAATCGGGCGTAAAGAGCGTCTGCGCCGTGAAGCGGCCGTCTCTCTCGCACGGGCCCACGCAGGCCCACGGGACGCCCCGTGAGTGCGAGAGAGACGGGGCGGCGCAGGGTGCCGCAGGGTGCCGCAGGGCCGGGCCTGCTTCGCCTGCTTGGATATGCGATCCGTGCCGCGTTGTGACACGGCCGACACGGCCGACGCGGCGCGCGAGGCGGCCAGCCAGTATGGCCGCATCGAACGTGACCGACTTGATTGCATTCAACGCCATCGAGTGCCTCTGAACGAGCGGCGCACGCCGCGCGGTCGTCAGCCCCTCGGCCGCCCTCGGCCGCCCGTCAACTAGGGCAGCGAGGCACCGAGGCACGCGCATGGAGGACCTCCCCGCCGACGTCGCGTGAGACCGGCCACTTCGAACCACGGCGGCTCCTTTGTCTGATTCCGGACAGCGCTTCGTCGCTGCGGCTCACCCCGCGCGTGCGAGAGGGACAGAGCGACACTGACCAGCAGAGTCAGTCCGCAGAAAGAAACCAAGACTCGGATTTATTTTCACGACTCATCCGCGCGACGGCGGCCTTCCCGCAGCCTTGCCGCCGTGCTGCCTTGGTGCCTTGGTGCGCGCTCGCGGGGTTAGCCACCTCCAAAAGCGCATCCCGGGGGAGGGTGGGGGCAGTCTGCCCCGCCCCGCCGCGCCGCGCCCCGCCGCGTGCCAGGGAGGCAGGGGGCATCAAACCACTGGGACACCTCGCCAAATTCCTGCGTCGCCCGATTCCTTATGCGTTTCTTTGTTTTCGTTGCTTTTCCCGTCCGTGCCCGTCCGTGCCAACGTGCCAGCGTGTCAACCACCCCTGCAGCCTGCGCGGCGGCGCGGCGGCGCGGGCACGCTCGCCTGGCGTGCAGGTCCGCCGGGTGTCCGTCGCTCTGTCTCCGTCCCACTCGTGGGGCGTCGCGTCAGGGTGCGAGAGAGACGGCGCGACGAGGCGCTCCTTCGGCGGCCGGCCGCTGCCGCCGCTGGCGAGGCTCCAGGCAGGAAGAGACGGAAGAGCCGGCAGGCACTTCACTTCCAGCGCCTCGTCTCGTCTCGTCTCGTCTCCGGAAACGACCCGACCAGAACGGTGTCGCATCACATTGGCACATCCCCGGGCTGGGCTGGGCAGACACATTGGATCGGCACGCCGCGTCGCCGCGACGCCACAGGGCCTCGCCGGCTCGCCCTTGAAACAGCCAGCCCCGCCGCACGCACGCCGACCCTAGGGACTGCGTGAAGCAGGTGCACCCAGGCGGCCAGTTCGCGTGGCTTTGTTTCGAGTGGGCATGGCGCCCCGCTGGACACGGCCGCTTAATGCGAGCTGTGGCGCTGCTGGGCGTGAATCCCACTTCCGGGTCGGGCCCTTGTCTCGTTTCAACCAAGCTGTCCCTTCTCCGCAGCCAACAATGCACTCTTTTCAAAAATGAATCGACCCGGTTCGCAACGCGCCGCCGCTGTCGCCCTGCTGTTGGTCTAGGCGGCTGTGCGTTGCTCCCCGTGGAGGAAGTAAGGCACTGGGGTTTGTTGACGTTGTTGACGCGCTGCCGCTCGCGCCAATCGCCGGCTGCAGGTTCCCGCTGGTGCTTGCTGCTGGTGCCGCGGGTTCCCTCCGGCAGGTTGATGCTCCCAGCTGCTCTTCTCTTGGCCTTCGATGGCCGCGTCGCGCCGCCGCCACGCCGCCGCGCCTGGCACGGCAGCACGGCAGCGACTTGGCTTCGCAGATCCTGCAGCCACCGGCCTGGCCAGGCCAGGCTGCCAGCACCACCGCGTCGTTCGGCCACTCTGATGAGAGGTGACCTTCGAGGGGTCGCCGTCGGTGCGAAGGGGTCAGGAGCTGCTGGCCGTGCTGGCCGTGCTGGCCGCCCCGCAGAGCGCGCCGGAGCCCCTTCGCGTCCTCGGAGCGTCGGGCCGTCCGGGCCGTCGAGCCCTGATGGGCCGGCCTGATGCATTTTAGCACCAGCTCGACGAGTGCCCACGACGACGCCACAAAACAATAAACGCGGAGCGCGTCGCGCGCGCCATCTCGCGGCGTGACACGGCCTGACCGCAACCTTGATGGCTTTTAAGCGTTCCCGCCTCGGGTCCACTCGGGTCGCTCCCGACCCGCCGCCCGCCACGGCGGACACGCCACGAGCCGAATTCGTGGTCGCGTCGGCTGCCATTCGGAGTGAGCGAGGGAAGTCCGCCCAACGCGGTGCACTTATCAGTCGCGTTCCGACCAATTGCGTTGTGATTCAGCCCACGACTAAGACGCACTGTCACCATTTTCGAAAAGGACAGAAATGCGAATAATGCTGGAGGGAGATAGCTTTGTTGCTGAAGCTGTGGCTGATCGTACTTATGCCACTGAAAACTAACTGATGCTGGTTCAAGCTCGATTTCTCATGCTGAAACCAAGAGTGTGCTTACGTCACATGCGGCATGCGGCCCCCTTTGCTTGATCACACTGATGCTTCTGCCGAAGAAACCTCTAGCGCGGGCCTGTAAGAATAGGGTCCCATTGGTACCACTGTTTTAATCTTAAGTCAATGCTTCTACATTCCCCCCAGTAATAATGCCAGTCGGCAATCGTAGTTGTGCCGCCCGCCTTCAGATGTATGAGAAATGTACATCACGCTTTTACCACACCTTTGGGCGTTTGTTCCTATTTTTGAAAGATGCTAGTGATTCTCCTACACTCCCGAAAAATTTAAACTTAATCATAAAATAAAGGCACCGTTCCATTTCGATGATATCCCTTTGAAATGTGCTTTTAGCCGTGTTATTTTTTTTCGTCCGGTTGGTATGGCGACGCAGGCCACTGCGGGCCACTGCGGGTTGCCTACCTTACCTTCCTTCAACCATTTTCATTTTGCTGGAGTGGAGGAGTACTTCAACTTGATTCTGTTAGCTTTACTTTATTTACTTCCTTAGATTCGGGTTTAACTTTGAGTTATGCTTTTTTGATAACAATGGCGGAGAGTGCAGAGGATGCTGCAATGGAACCAGGTTGGTTTCGTAAATTCTCGTCCTAGAATTAGTCGATGTTAGCTTGGGTGTTCTTTTATTTTTGACCTCATCCTAGTCTTGAGTTGTGTTTCTCTGAAATCTTACTTGTATTTTCTCAAAAAAGAAATGAAATCAATCAAACGGTGCCTGTGGCAGGTATTTTTCTGTAATTTTAGTTTTCCGTGCGTCTAGTTTGTATCTTGATTCCCTCCAGAACTCATAACCTCAACTTGTCTCTTTTACACTTCTCCACAGTTTAACACTAGCCTGAAACTTTTAACTTTCTCGTTACCCGAACGTTTTGCGCATTTCCTCCAATGAATAATCTCAGACATTATCTATTAGCGGTACTGTTGCTACCCTGCCTGAAAAATAGATAAAATGTATTCATAGATTGTTTTAAGGGATTTAAATATTTATTGAGCAGCCTTTGCACTTTGAATTAGTTTTTTTTTTGTCAAATCCTTTTCCTTGCTCAATTCCTTTTTTAGAGTACTCTTGAAAACGATCCGACTTTTTGTCTGTTTTCTAGCTACTTGAGGTCATGTGTCATTGACCCCAACCTCTATCTTCACTGTCGTAAATGTAGTTGCTGATCTCGTTTATTGAGCCAGCAAAATGCAATTCTTTTGCTTATCTATATCCCGGCGCAGATGAAATCTAAACCTTCTCAATATGTTCTGAAAGTTAGAGCAGCCTGGAGAAAATTTTTCCCTTTGACGACTTGTTTTTTAACTTCTCTTTTCTTTCCCAGAATTAATTTTAGACCCAGTTAAGGTGGAGCCTGAGAGCAAGGATTCTCTGTGCCGTCTCTGTGCTTGCAGTAGTGAACTGCTAATCCCAATTTTGGAGGGAGAAGGCTTAGAAAACAGTCTTGCTGATAAAATAGAAAAATACCTTCCCATTCAGGTTTGTCTCAATGTTACTGACTTCTCTATATTATTCTCGTCTAAATGTGTCAAAATTTATTGTGAAATCTGCCATTTAGGTCGCCTTTCAAGATCCTCTTCCACTTCAAGTTTGCTTTCACTGTGCTTCCACAGTGATCTCTTGGCATGAATTGAGTACATCTTGCATTGATGCACAGCATAAACTTCAAGCTATGTTTAGTGAGACAACCAGCGAGGCGCCAGTAAGTACCAATATTTTTATGGAACCATCATTGTCATTAAAAATAGCTTTGAATGTAATATCATCTAAAACTCTAATTTTAAGGTGTCTCCTGCTGCCTCAAGAGATTATGATGCTGATATTTGTGAAGACATTGTACCAGACACAACTGATTTGGAAACTAGTGGTCCTACTTCACCAGACATTCAAAATGCATTCAAGGTTTGCTTGGTTGTGAGGGTTCTTTGCTTGTTTGTTGTTGGGCAAGTTTTCATCTAATTTTTACTCTGTGCAGGAACATTCAGAGCAAGTTCAAGAAATAGATGACTCTAAAATGGACACAGGTGTGCACCAAAAAGGAGAAACGGAAAGGTAGGAAAAAGCTACATTCATTATCCTAGTTCATTTTTCTCTTCTTTTTAAAAACAAAATTGATTGCTTTAATTGCCTGGGATATTAAGCCAATTACACTTCATTTGAATACTGGCTTAGATCATGTAAATTCCATTTGAAGACAATAATTTTAGCCTCAGGCAGAAGAGGAATCAACCTAATTATACCAAACATATAGCAATGTGTCATGGCATTAAATTTGATCAAAATCTAGTGAGTTATGTTGTCTTCACCTTTTCTACAGTGATGTAACCAAAATAAGCCATGACCATCTCTTATTGATCACAGAAAGGTGCTTCTTTATTCTATTCTTGTAGTTTTATTGAGTTATGTGGAAACACCTTTGCTGTTGCCTCACCTGTATTTGAGTCTCCTCCAATTGGATTTGTTTTACCATTTTTACAATCTAAAACAACCTCATTTAAATTTAAAAATAGCTGGTCTTATTTGTTTTTCAAATCTCTATGGTTTGTGCATATCTACTCTCATTCATCAATTCAATTATACCATAGATCAGTTGTGGCTTTACCCTTTTTTTAATGTTTGCAAGAAGATTTATCTTTTTTCTCAAAGTAGCATGATTTATATATTGGGCTCATCAGTCCGAAGATTCACCCATCTTCTGCTCTTCTCTGCTGTCTCAAGTAACATCTCCTTGAAGACTGGTTCCCAGATATAAGCTAAAGTCAATTGGTTTCTTCAATTTCCTTTCAAGTGTCACAGTTCAAAAAGCTACTAAATTTAACTTCCTGGGGGAAAAAAATTCCATTATCATTAGTGTTTTGAACTTAAATCAATTAATTTACCTTGAAACCTCTTGCATTGTACATATAATCATGGGCGGAGGTTGGTGTCTTTGCTTTTGCATCTTGTCAATGTAACATGCTTACAGTTGCATCATGTATTTGCATTTGTACCAAAATGAATTAATATTGTCTGTGACACAGGTCATATTGTCGAAGGCCATGGTTTATTCAGAATCCTGGATTTTCACTTTGTTGTTAAGTTCAAGAAGATACCTTTGAGAAGCTCTCTGGGCGACTGCTTTACGCAACTATTTCTCATCATGCCACCCCAATCAAAATCAAGAAGAAGTAATGAACTGAATTAGAAGCAATTATTAATCTCAATGATGTAGGATATCAAAGAAGAATTACTGCTAAGTTTTATCAAATTTGATACACTAGATATGCTGCACGGTATTTGAATTCCCTCAAGAGATAGCTTAACGTATTGCTACTTTGCTAGGTTCAATAGAGGCTCACTTGCTTTTGATCCCTGATACAGTCATAATCAATTCTTTTTGATACACGCCCTTCCAAGGATGATCCATGTGTTGAGTTTTGCTTGGGGCAATTTTGTTCCAAAGCCTTGAACAGTCATGACATGAAGGTGACTTGCTGAAATTTGGGGCACTATTCTTATGTTGTACTGAGGCATAGTGCAGGTTATGAGCAACAGCATAGGTTTTCAGTCCTATTAGAGATTGACACCTATTTATGATTTCAGGTCCATAGCTGATGTTACTGAGGAAAACAAAGTTATGGTGTGTTTGGAGAGGAAGGAGGACTTCCTATCAGTAACAGAAATTGAAAAGCAATCTCAGATTGATCACTGTTACTCGCGAGAAAAACAAAACACTAGTCAAATTGATGTCAAGTCTCAACAAGAAAGAAGTCGAATTCCCAAACGACTGTCCAATAGGCTGATTCTACCACGTCCTATCTTGCCACGCCCTGCTGTTAATTTTGTCCAAAATCCTCAATTTAGCAAAGCAAACAACTTGAAGAATATTGTTCCCAAACCTCAGCAAACCTCACCACAAATCATCATAGTTATGAACAAAACTGATAAGCAATCATCAACAGCATTGCCTTTCCAGCAGATTCAGAACAGTGCTCCAATTAGTGTGGGGCCAAAACGGCTTTTAGCTGCCAAGCCCAAGAATGCTGCATTTCCCATTCTTCCTGTTGTTCCCTTTTCTAGTTCTCACGGTACTTTGCCAAAGCTTACAAAGCTTAAGGATCTCACGGTAACACGAGTCCCAGTTGGGGCTCCTAAGAAGTCTCCTGTGAAGATGGCCCCCAAAGCCTCTGTAACCATTGTTAAAGGCGGGAGCTATCACTGCAAAATTTGTTCTGCTAAATTTATGAATGAAATGGTATTTAAGAGGCACATGTACCTCTCACACAATGTTAAGAAGCATACATGTGTGTATTGTCAAAGTGCTTTTGGCACAAAGATGGATCTTCAATTCCATGTGAGGCAAGCCCACAGGACCATTACCAGAAATATAACTCAGCACTTCTGCAAAACATGTAATGCAGCATTTGATAAAGCAATTGACTTACGAGTTCATATTCGTGATCAGCACCGAAAAACTTTCTCTCGCTTTGAAGATGTTATACAAAACAGGAAAAAGATTTTAGGGGTTGCTATAACTGACAAAGAAGCTGAAATGTTGAGGGAGTGCCATTCACGAGTGGACAACAAGGATGTGTATAATTGTTGCGTATGCAAGAAGTCATGGAGCAATTTGGAGAAAATTGTGGCACATGTTAGAACTCATACCAAAGAGCAACTATATGCGTGTGAAACATGTGGTCAGCGGTTTAACACAAAAGGTGTTATGCATCGTCACATGCAAATTCATAAAAATGTTAAGCCATATGCTTGTGACTATTGTGACAAAGCATTTTCCTCTAAACAAAATCGTGATGACCATCATCGTCTCCATACCAAGGAGGTTAAAACTGTTTGTGAATCTTGTGGGGAATTTCTAACTAGTGCATCCATGTTGTATTATCATCGTAAAATCCATTCTGGTATTAACCCATACAAATGTCCGTATTGCGACAAAGCATATTCTATTAGATCTCTCCTCAAGAGACACATAAGGTACCATACAGGAGAAACTCCCCATTTGTGCTCGGTGTGTGGACGTGGATTTAAGACCTCAGGTCAGCTTCGTGGGCATTCAGCAGTTCATACTGATGAGCGTCCATTTTCTTGTGATGGATGTGGTGCCACAATGAAAACTAAAAAATACCTTAATAGACATAGAGCAATTTGTCCCACTTTACAAACTAAAGCTAATGATGAAAATACTGTTTCTAAAGCTGTTGAGGAACTAAACAAGTTAAGTTAAATGACCATCTGCTTTTAAATCTAGCACAGCATTAGAACCAATTAGAACTGTGTGAAAATGTGTCATAGGGCGTAATCCAAGTGTAACCAATGCTTTAATAAATTTAAAAAAGTTTTTCTTTCATTTCAAATCTTTTATTTACCATGAGGCTGGATGCAATTTGCTACTCCCTAACTTACGGTCCAATGTCTGACAATTTCCGCATCTGTCAATTTTTTTGTTGTAACTTAGAGTTGATCGTTCCCTATCATAGCTCTGAGCCATGTTTTAATTAATGATAGTGGCTGATATCAGGTAATTTGTTTTCAGGTGCCTTCAGGAGGTGAAGTTGGAGGGCATTTCTGAGAAGTTGATGTGCCAAATTTGCAGCATAGTATTCACTGATACCTCTAGCTTAGATCACCACAGCCAAATGGCACATGCACAGCTTCAGCATTCATTAGAGAGTGGAGGCACAATGTTCAGTTGCCATATCTGCTCAGTTTCTTTTCTGGCTGAATCTGATAGAGATAGTCACTCACAATTAGAGCATGGTGTCTCATTGAGAGATGATGCAAATGCCAAGCCAGATATCAGCCAAAACTGTCAGTTTTGTGGCAGGTTCTTTAGACATTTTTCAGTCTTAAATATGCACAGTATATCATGCAAGAAGCTGCTTGGAAACTCAGAGGGCTCAGAGGACTTCAGTGATTATGTGACTCTTGATGAATCTATAACATTTGATGAGCCTGAAAGCACTCAAGATAGAAATGAATCTTTTAAGAGAGGTGTAGCAAAACGTAGCGCTCCTCTTACATCACTAGGTCGGCTTGATAAGAGCCACATTGAATCAAAGGTTACCAAAAAAAATATTCATCCTATTGTATCTGAAAACATTCCTGCTCATAAGCGCATTCGCCAGTCTAAAGACAATTGTGAAAAACGAGTTAGTTGTGCTTATTGTATTAAGTCATTCAATGGAAAGTATGAAGCCATAGCACATGTTAGCAAATCACATCGCAAAAAGCTAGAAGAATTTTTGGTATGGCTGCAGAGGAGGAAACTTTACTTAAAAGATAAATTATGTTCTATCTGTGATAAAACTTTCACAAGCACTCAAGAAGCAGCTGAACATGTTCAAAGTTGTCACAAAGATGGAACCAAAGAATCATTAAGATGTGAGTTGTGTCTAATTGAATTTTGTGACGAATTAGATTTGCTAAAACATATTGCCAACCACAGTGCATCTGATGATGGTTCTAAACTTTTTTTTGAACTGAAAACTACTGAATTTGACAAAGTTATTGCCTTCAATGAATTACCATCATCTTTACGTGATAAACCTGAGGGAAATGAAAAGATTGTAAGCTGTGTTGATGTTGAGAAGACCTCTGGAAATTTTGCAAGAAATGAGCATGATTCATTTAATGCAGGATCCGTTTCCAACATAATGGAAACCTGCATCAATTCAAATGTTTCACTGTCTCAAAAGTCCACCAAAGAGGAGTGCTTTGATGAGGATACAACTATTGATGTTAACTCATCCAAAATGGATGGAACTTCTTTGCTTGTTGACTCTTTTCTTAATGGTAAAGAAATATTTCCACTTAAAACAAATTCTGAAAGTAGCCAAAACACAAATTTAGGAAGCTGCAACTTGGGTTTGCCTTTGTTGACTGATAACTCAACAGAAAAATCTGATCTTGTAAACTCAATGACTCAATAGACTCATATGTGTGGTACTGAAGGTAACGTTGATTACCAAAGAATACCTATTCCTTCGTCTTGACCTGTTAAGATCTCAGGAATATTCCCAGATTATTGTTAAGAAATTATGTATGTTTTTCAATAAATTGAATGATGAACTCATATCTGTTTATGCATGAGTGTATCTTAACTTTCTTCATGATGCTCCAGAATCTGCCCTAAAGATGACTCCTACAAAGAGTGAAAAGAAAGTTTTGCACAAAACTCAACTATGAATATGACTCAAGCTTGTTTTCCATACTATTGCAGATAAAATCAAAAGATGAACAGAACGTCATTTGAAGAGGACACCATCGAATCTTGTGTTTGTCTTCATTTATTCCCTCTAGTACGTATTGTGAGTAACCCCTCAGTTCCTTATTCTTACCCTTTGCCAGAAATTCAAACTTCTCAGTGGATTTTGGAGAATTCATTATCTATGGCCATTTTTATTAAAACCTACTTTGAATTGTATTTACTTTGTTTGATTGAATAAATTGTAGATTTTTTCAAAATTTGTTTGAGCATATGAAAAGCTCATCTCCTGCATGAGAAGAGGAGTTTCTACCAACCATCACGACTTCATAGAAGATTTTTAAAACTTATTTCGTAGTTGTTTGGCAAAAAAAGTCACCTAACATGAATAAAAATTTTAAGTCTTTATTTTCAAAACAATTTAAGCTTAAACTTAATTCAGATAATTGACCTAGAGAACTCATGTTCATTAATTTTGAATCAATATTTTGATTGATTTATTGATAATTTTTCCTTCATTCCTTTTGCTGTGCCAGACATGAAGTAAAAGCCATCTCCGAGTTCAACAGAAGAGGATTTGCATCAAAAACTCACCATCATCATGCTTCTGAAACCTACCCAGGAGGTACTGAAAAGAATAGAAAATTATTCAAACAGTTCCAAATCTAAGGAAACAAATTATCTAGCTTGATGTAACTTCTGCTCATTATGGCAGTTTATTTGGAGACTGCCTCTTCATACTCATTAGTAAATTTCCTTTTCTATTCCATCAAAATAATTTTTTCAAGTAAAGAAAGCTATAAAAGAAGCTTTGTTTTTGTAAAAATAATTTTTTTGAGTTCTGGAACTTAGTAACTTTACATTAATAAACTCTATAATCCTCCTTGAAACATTTCAAGAGTTCCACATCAAGATTACATTTAAAGATTAAAATAAAGTCTGCAACAGACCCTTCTTTGTTTGAGTTGTAACATTATGGTTGTTACATTTCAGGTTTCAATCAAGAGGAAAATTTTCATTCTCAGAATACCATGCATCTCGCAAGTCAACTCAAGTGTTTGGTTATCAAAATCGCCCCATGGAGTCATCATCACAGGCCCCTTTACCAGGGCCTGGTGCATTTCAGTGTGCTCCCAAGGAAGAGATGGCTGCTGCTGCTGCTACATCTCATGGAAAAAAATATCTGAATGCATACCAGGACAGCAGCTCCTCTACTTCTTCTGACAGCTCTGATTCATCTGATGATAGCTATGTTCCACCAAAGAAGTTACGGGCTTTTGCATCCAGAACAACCCGTAGTAACCGGACTAAGAAAGAAGAACCCGTCCGCAGGTCAACAGATTATGATAGCATGCTTAGGTGTTTGATGTGTCCTAAACGTTTCAAACGCTCCTGTGACTTATCTCGTCATGTTGCGTCTGAACATTCAGATATTAAAAGTGAACCAGAAGAAGAGCAGGCAGAGGATTCTGCATGTGACGAAGAAATTTTGGGTAACAATGAAACAAAAGGTGACTCTGCCTCACTCTCCATCAATGAAAATCTGATGAAAGAGAGACCCAAACAAGCAAATCAAGTAACATGTAACAACTGTGACAGAAAGTTCAGATCAAAGGAAGCACTGCAACGTCATGTCACTGGAGATCGTTGTATCTTGAACTCTCCTTTGATTCCTGGCAGTCCCATTAACTTGAATGTGTCTGAGGATGGCAATGACCATATTGATGCTAGCAGCACTGAAGCTAGTACTGCTGCCGGAAAAGTAGCTGATGATGTTAAAATTAAAGAGGAAGATGATTTTGATGACATGAAGGATTCCGATTACAGTGTGAGTAGTGAGGAGAGTTTCAAGAAAGAGAAGAAGGCACGTCCTGGGCCTAGCAAGGAGAAGCCAATCTACAAATGTGAGGTTTGTAACAAGCAGTTTAAATTGAAAGAAAGTTACACAACTCACACTAGAATTCACACTGGTGAGAAACCCTTTACATGCCACATGTGTGGTAAGCAATTTTCCCATTCAGGAGGCCTGTCATATCACCTTCGTCATGTCCACATGGGAATCAAAGAGCACCCTTGTGATATTTGTGGAAGAAAATTTGCATTGAAAGCTGCAATGCAAGACCATAGACGCATACATACTGGTGAGAGACCATATGTTTGCGATGTTTGTGGCAAATCATTCAAAAGTAAAGCATCACTTTACATTCACAGTAAAACTCACACTGATCAATATCCTCATCCATGTGAATACTGTAGCAAGAAATTCAGATGGCGCCAGCAGCTTTTGGGACATCTTACTACGCACACAGGCGAAAAGAAGCATCACTGCAAAATATGTAACAAGGGATTTGGTGTTCGTAATGATTTGACTCGGCATGAGCGTATTCACTCAGGTCAGAAGCCATTTAAATGCTCTGTGTGTGGTCTTGCTTTCGGTCAAAAGCGATACTTAAAGAATCATCTTAAATCTCGTCATGGAATTCTTCGGTTGGAAAATGTAGAAGCTACAAATGAATCAACATTGTAAACTGCTCATTATGGCATATATTACTTAATGTCATTGGCACTTGTCTCCATATTCACGTCGTGACTGCTTACATTTTATAGCGGGCTCAAACATGGCAATGTGCTCTAGGTTGACTTTTTATTAATTTTACATTTAGTGCTTTTCTTATACTGCCAACATTTGAAATAACTTGAGCTTTGGTCTCTTTTGTACTGTTATCTATTGATTTATGTGTTAGTTTTACCTTTTTTTTCCTTACGACAAAGTTCTTTATGTTTCTGTTGAACATTGAATAGCAATTTTGTTTTGGAAATCAACACCAAACTTGAAGTTTTGGGGACGAGATCTACAAAGTTCTACTTCGAAACGGCATTGGTACTGGGTTTACATGTTCTTATATTTAAAAATTGACTAAACTTCATCACTGTGTATATATGCGCACGCGCGCGCGTGTTTGTGTGAAATGGCTCAAAACTTTCGTGTTTAATTACCTGTTTAGTATTAGGATGTTCGAATTGTTTGAGATTGGGCTAATGGTCTTCCACCCAGATTGATATGAAAAATGTGCTAATGTTTATTCTTGGCAGATTTGGAGGCCTGCCACAAGAAATTGATCTGTTTTGCTCTTCCACCTCCATAGTTAAATTATGTTATGAGCTTTTAACAAGAAAATACTAAAGAAATATGAAGAGGAACTGTTGAAGAACACTTCCTTTGAATATTAGCTCATTTGTGATTACAATTTGTTTGGATAAGATTTAAAGAGGGTTGTCAATATTTCAAGAGAAAGATGCATCATAGAAGGGATTTGCATCACATTTGTAACTTAGAGTAATATTTATTTGCAGTCTCTTAATGGTCAAATGAGTTTCATAAAAGCCACTGCCTATTATTTTCATCTCAAACTAGGAATTACCCATTCTGTTTTCAATGTGAAAGGTGCCTTTTGTATGTCAATTCCCAAATCCATGTTGTTTTCTTTTTAGGTCAAGTGTGTCAAAGCTTGAGCTATCACTCGTAAAATGTGTGAGGCTCTGTGTCTAATGTGGTCAGAGGCCTAGGTTTGTTTTTAATGGAAAAAAAGTTTAGGGAAGGGGTATTTACATTTTCTGATTGTCATGGAATCTCTTGATTTTAATTTCAATTCTAAATTGGAAACCGTCCTAAGGAATGCAAAGTAATACTGAAACCTAAGTGCGTTGTTGATATTTTGCCAGAGTTTCTTATTTTTCTTTTCCCCCTCTTGTATAAGTCTGAACCTGAAAAATGTACTTTATGGGAATCAGGCTGTTGTTCAGACAACTGAAGCTCAAATTTCTTGTCTCCTTGATTTCTGTTATGATATGGATAAAAAATTTCTAGGCATGGGCCAGTTTTGAAAAGCTGCTGAGCATTTGTGTGTGATAAAGTTACTACGGTAACCCTTTGGGAAGTATTGACGTATTGACTCGGGATGGGTCTTTCTAAGACACCATGTACCTTATTTTTTTACTTTCATTTTACATCTGAAGTGAATGGAATATTGTATAGATTTGCACTAGATTTGTGATGAAGTGCATCCATCTTTATTTCTTGTTAAGCACTTTTGCTTCCTACTCAATCATTCTTCCTACTCTGGAAAGTAACTATTGTTACTTCAGAGAACAGCATGTTTGACTCATATTTTCATCACATTATTGTAGGTTCAGATATTTCTGTGTTTTTGATTCTGTTATGTTCTTGTCCATTCTGTTGTTGAATGACATGTCTTAATACAGCCAATTTTCATTTGTTTGGTGTATTTGTGTTCTGCAGTTTATAAACTTACTTTATGTAGTATAATCTACCAGTGTATCTCGTTGCAAACTCTTTTTGTAATTATTGTTTATGAAGCTCCCTTTGAGAACTCCAACCAGATACGGACCATGCTTGTACTTATACTGTGGTGATGAGGTGTGATACGTTGTGATTTCATCTATAAACTTCAACTTGTTTAAATTTTCTGATTATGAGATTTGATTTTGTGTTTTTAGGGGACGGCGGCGGCGTGTCTCCCTTTTTGTGTTAGGTATTATGTGTTACTTATTCACTGTAAGTGCTTAACCTGAACATATTGTAAAACCAAGCTTCGTATATGGTGTTGCGCAAGCCTGCCTATTATGCTTGTGAGAGTTGCTCACTGTCAATTATTTTGCTATGCAGGATATACATCATCCATGTGCCTTAGTATCAACTGTTGTGTGGTAACAATCGGTTCCTCTACATGCTCTTAATTTCAAAAACAAATTCAGTACTTAAAATGGGCTTTGTACTGCATGCAAATGTCTCTTAAAGCAGAATTTTGCTCACCGTCGTTTTGACATACACTGTTATGATCCTTCGTCCGAATTTGTTGAGTTACCTGAGATGAATTATATTTTAGATGTTGGTTATTGATAGTTGCAGTGGGAATACCAATGACCTTTCTATTACATTGCTCATTCATATTCCAAGTAAGGCTACTTTGCTGCTATGTATAAGTAAACTTTATGATTTCTTGTTGATAATTTAATCATTTTTGTTTGATCAGTGAAAATTTTATTTTATATAACAGATTGTGTCTGAGCAACAAAGGCTGTGACATAGCTGCTGATTATTTCTGGTTTGCTGTTATGCAGTGAATGCAGAAAACAACATGCTCTTTGTCATTTTTTACTTGACCTTTTGTTGTGACTTTACTTTAATATTTTCTGTGTACAAATTAAAGGAAGAATTTCTTCCTGATGCATATATATATATTGCTGTTCTGGAAAGATTCAAGGTTTGCAAATCTCATCTGCATTACCAAATCTTCTGCTTCTCCAGAAACAGGTGCACCAAAGTGACCACAATATTATGAACAAATGTAAGCTATTTCATAAGGTTTTCAAGGGGTATGGTGTATGTTAATTTGCATCTCCTCTTCTTTTTAAATATCGTTTATGGTTAAGTTAATTTTACTCATGCATATAATTTGCAAGCAAAACTACAACTGGTGACTTGATTTGGTAGTTGATTATATCTATTTACATGTTATCACTATCTATATAATCAAGGCAGTTTGTGTAATGTTAAATGTGATGCAATATAACTACAGCTTCTGAACTATAATGCAATGAAAGTTAACCTGAATCGTAGGAACGAACTCTGTGGTTAAATGTTTTTATTTAGACGGTCTTAGGCGACCTGGTGATCTTGATTCACATATTATGTCACTGTTTCTTGGTAGTTTTTTTTTTCTCATGTATCTAGTTTTGCTTGTAGCTCTTTATATTACTTGAAAATAAAAAGGTTTATAGATTTGTTATAGTATGTAGTAATGTGGATAGTTCTATCTTTATGCTTGTTTTCATGGTTGTGCATATGTGCCAGTCATACTTTAAATTTTTTTTTTCAATGTGGGTAATGATTCTCTTCACATTAGTGGCTTTCTAAAAATTTCAGAGTGTGTAGGTTGCTGGTAGAGAACTTAATTATTATCATTGCCACTGCAAAGGATCTTTCCTTCATTCGGCTAATACCACGACTTGGATATTGTTGATCTATTTTCTTTAGGACTCCTTCTGTAATGTCAAATTTGCATCTTCTAATCTTTGTTCTAGTCATGGCTTTGATTGTACTATCTTTACTGGTTGCTTCTGATCAGCATGTGTTTTCTTTCAAAAGTGCAGAGTTATTCGCAGTTTCACAGAATTTTTAAGTTTATATGCCTAAATAGGTTATTGTTAATGTTTTTAAATTGAAACTTCATTGTAGTAGTAGTCCCCCAATATTCTACAGAACTCATTTTTAAATACCAGTTGATGTGTTCAAAGGCGTTTATAGCTGTAGAGTTTTCTGAACAATGTAATGACTGAATATGCCGACAGATGCAGCACTCTTTGGCTTTCTTCTCTCAGTTCTCTCTCTTTCTCAATTTTCTCTCTTTCTCTTTTCTAATATAATATGTTTGATAAACATTCTTTCTCCCTTTACATCAGGTGTAGGAAATGCAATGTTAGAACCAACATTTTCTGTGTGTGTAGAAAATTCATAAATATGTTAAGACCAATTATTTTATCCCTGCAAATACGTATATTGTTTGAATAGCACTGGAGCTTGGCCCCAAAATATGTGTGCTTTGCTTCATTTGTAATTTTAAATTTCTTTATTAAAATCTTAAGTGTAGTATGAAAAAGATATTGAGATGTAGCCAGCTTGGTTTTAGAGTTCCTCAGAACTCTACTGGATGTAAGTCAATGATTTAAACATCAGAACAAGTATGCCTTTCATAAATTTCGTTATCTTTAGTTCACGTGTACTGTTCTTAGACTGTACTTATTTTAAACGCCTGTGTTTTTTGTTTAGTTTTTTTTTTAATTTGATATGGTACAGCTCAGGATGTTGTCGGTGGACTGCATGCCTAGTCCTGCAAGAAGTCTGATACAATTGACATCTGTGATGCTTTGGGATAAAATGCCTTGAACTTGGTAAGACTGATTTCAGATTTTTGTAAGAAGGAACTAAGACTTGAAAGGTGTGGGGTTAAACAATTTGTAAGAGAATCTAGGCAGTAAAAGACAGAAATGGCATAGGTTTTGTGACAGTACATCGTTACTATTTGCCTTGGGGAAGGAAGTAATTTTGAAGGAATTGAATTGGCTTGAAAGGATTGTGATAAGAATTTCTTGATATGTTTTTTTTTGTACGTTTTATTTGGCATCACTGTAGGCCAGTTGAATACCATCACCTGGTGATAGATGGTACTGAGCTGGTTTTTGCAGTACTCGTATATGTGGAATAAAGGTACTACAAAATTATTTCTTGTAAGTTTCTATTTCTACTCACTCCCACTGCATATCTCAGCCACATAAAAATACACATCAAACCCAAAATGTTATCTCTGACAAGAGAAGGAAGACTAGAATAACAATCTTAAAGTATTCTTTCTTACATTTACTCTCTAACAGCATCATTACACCACACAAAGTCTTGGGAGTCACCTTCCTCACCATTTGATGTTTCTACCACGTACAATAACACACTGTTGTTTCCATTGATGTCTTCCATCATAAAAGTACCCCCTGTTACACAAAAAAAAGAAAAGAATCAAATTTTGTATAAGGCACTGGTAGAAAAAATTAATGAAGCTGATGCATTAAGGTGCAGCCTTACAAACCTGGGTCAATGATATCACAGCCAAAAGCAGCAGAGGTGAGAACAGGTGTTGTGTTAGGTACATTACTATCAGATGATTCTTGGTCTACCAGTGTTAGTAGTATTTCGCCTTCTGAACCTGGAAAGACCGAATATTATTGCACACTGTTTGAATTTTCACTTGATATTCATTAAATCTATTGATTATTTCTGTGCTTCACATACCTTGGACACTCTCAGACACAATGACAGAATGCTCCTCACCCAGCAACATTGTTGACTCGGTTTGAACATAGTCCGGTAAAAAGTTATCAATGAGTGTCAGTTGTTGAGAGGGCTGAAGCATAACTTGAGAATCCACCTTAAAAGACACAATGAGATATTTTTTTAAAAGTTCCGTGAAAACCAGTAATATCTTAATTTATTTAACCTTTTTGACACTCCTGGTTTAACACTGACCTGGTTTGGATAAGTTACTTGAACTTCAGGTGTTGAAATTGGAGAAAGTGTGAACACTTTAGATGACACCGTGTCAACAGGGGCTGAAAACGAAAATGCACAGTATAAACATAGATGATCCATCATACAAGCCATCTTGAATTTGATTATTTGAGAAGTAACAATACCTCCTGTCAGAATACTTTTGTTTTGAAAATGCATTTTCCGTAGCGATTCTAATAAATGCTGGCGTTCTTCCTGCTGTTTAGGGGATAGTTTTAGGTCCCCTGATAGTTGTAATAAATTTTCTGGGAGCTCAGCGAGAAGAGTATCTAGGAAACCTGGAGCCGACCACTCTTCTTGATGTTCGCCATGGGTTTTCTCTAGGTGGCGGCGGACTGAGTGTCGATGTCGAATAACAGTATTGCAAAATTTGCACAAGAAACCACGATTTGAATGGTATAGTTGACGATGGGTATCTAGTAAGTGTTTCTGAAATTAATAACAGTAATTAAAATGAAAGAAATTTTCAACTAAGAGAACTGGGCATCTAATTCCAACAAAGGCACAAACCTTTACAAAACTTCTCTTGCAAGCCTCGGCCTCACACTGAAATATTTTTCCCTGAGTGTGCGATAGTACATGAATATTGAAGTATTCCTTAGATGAAAATGATTTCTCACAGTATTCACAATTATAAAGTCGTTCAGAAGTGTGAGTTTGCATATGTTTAAACAAATTTCCCTTCTGAAAAAATTCTTTTCCACAAACCCCACAGGCAAAGCGTTTGGATCCTTTATGAATAAGTGAGTGGACATAAAGACTCTTTTTAGTTTTGTACTTCTTCCCACAAATTGAGCAAGGAAAATTGGCATCCTGATGAACACGCAAATGTTCTTGTAAAACATCTTTCCTATGAAATCGCTTTTTACAAATACCACATTCAAACTTCCTCTCTTCATGAAGAAATCTATGAGTCTTCATGCTAGAGGAACTTTTAAATATTGCACCACAAACTTCACAAATAAAAACTTTTCTTTCAGGTGACTCACTCTGACTTAGTTCTGGAATGCTATCATCCTTTTTTTTGGCATGCTTCTGTAAAGAATGAGATTTACAAATTTTTGATTTAGGAGGACCAGATTTGTTTTTATTCAAATCATGTGCCTTAAGATGAGACTGTAATTTAAATTCTGATTCAAATGATTGTTTACACAAGAAACAGCTTATCATGACCTTCCCCGGTTCCAATTTATTTCCACTACATCGATGACACTTCAAAGAAAGCCTCGATGCAAAGTTTCTTTTGCATTCACGGCAGGAAAACTCTCCTGTATGCATGGGGACATGCCGTTGTAGGTATTTCTTTGCTGAAAACTTTTTTCCACAAGTGGAACAAGGGAACCATTCTTTGGGTTGAGAGCATGAGTGAGTTTTCAAATTTTCCTTGCGAGCAAACACTGCCAGACAAGTAACACAAGTAAATTCACCGGTATGCTTGCGAAGGTGGCGGTATAAATATGAGCATTTTCCAAAGGATTTATGGCAAATGTCGCAATTATATGCTAGATTTTCATTTTCATGTTCCCCTAGGTCTGGACTAGAGGAATGATGTGGTGAAACCAGACTGAAAGATGCATCTGAAGGTTCACCAATATTAGGTTGCGTCATTTTGTCAGAAACAATTCTATTTGTCAGAAAAGTTTCATTTCCATCAGTTGGTGCTGCCACAATGAATGTTATAGGTTCTCCAGTAGCTAGAGCTTTGTCTAGGTCCTCAGCTCCACTTAAATTGACAGTTTTTGAAAAACTTTCCCCATTATTTGACTGGATTACCAATTGCTCACTGTTACTTGCAACATGCAACTCCAAACCATTTTCACCAGATACATCAGATACATCACTACCCAAGCTTTTCTTGGGGCTTTGACTTATACTTTTACTATCTGAAGATAAGACACTCTTCTCATTATCCAGTTTTTCTTCAGAATTTTTAGAATGATGTGGTTGAACGGACTCATGAACAGAATCAACATCATGTTCCAGTTTGAGACCAGAAGTCTCTTTGAGATCAAAGCGCAGACCTTTATCTACCTGAGATTCAGAGCTCTCAAGATCTCTTGTCTACAATGGAATATTTCAAAATTAAGTATTAATAATTTTATGAAAAAAAACAAAACAAAAAAAAACATTTAGAGTTGTATAAAAATTGCTTAGTTTTGTTCATACCTGAGATTCATCAAGAGAAATCTTCATTTGTGTGGCTCCATCACTGGCACTTTTGTGAAACTTCAACATGTGCTTCTGCAGTACCTGAGGCATTAGACATCATCACAAATAGAGACAAATCTGTGCTTAATTTATCCATGCAATCTAGATCATATCATAACTTCTAAAGTACCTTTTTACTTAAGAAACGCTTAGCACAAATGTTACATTTTGGGTGATCATTTATTTGCTGGTGGTAATGTGTCATAAGGTGGCGAGCATAACTAGCAACATTTGATTCCTGCATACCACACAATTTGCAAATCCATACATCTCTTTCTCGTGAAGCCCCCAGAACATGAGCTGGCAGATGCTGGGCAAGTGTCTGTAGTAAGTCTTGACCTGATCCAATAAATCAAGAAGAACAAAAACACATCAGCAAAAAACAATTCACAGGATTCAATACTAGATCAGGAGAGGAAATCAAAATCATACCAAGCAAGACGGAGGCTTCTTCATTTGATTTACACCTCCCCTCTGCCTCATCAGCTAGATCAAAAAATCCTTCCTGGAGTAAAGCAAAACAGCACTTAATACCAAAGCCAAGGAAACAATACAATGAAAAAGAATCCCACAAGTCAGTGTCACCTCTTGGACGGAGTCGTCTGACAATGGTAGGGCCTGCAGTTTCAGCCCGTAATATAGCGCATACCATACACGAAGTTCTTCTCCTGGCTGCACATCTCTTGTTGTTGTAAAATAAATGCTTTGTTTCACCTAGAAATTTGGCACTTTAAAATGTTTTTGCCGAGTTAAATGAAACTACAAGTAATAATGCCACTTACATCATAGCATATGAGGTTTTGCTCCCTGATGTTAGTTGCTGCGGCAACAAGGCACATCCAATTACACAGCTCTTCATCAGTAGTATCCAAATAATAACCTTCATCCAAACTCTTACCAAATACCTTCAAAAACAAGTCATCAATAAACACAAAACCAAGATTCACTAAGGATCCACTGAAAACACAATAAACACAGACTAACTTTGAGGGGAAATACAATTCCAGGATGAAGATCTATTGATAGAGGTGATTGAAAAGGACCAAACTGAGTTCCTTGAGCAATTATTACATTGGAGATAACAGTAGTACTACCATCTGCCAATGTCTTGACAATGAGATCTTTGGGCAAGGTTTGTCTGGCCCGTGACAAAATCCTGGAATCATACACCTGGAAACGCGAGAGAAAAATGAACCATCGATGAAGAACCATAAAAAGTAGAAATACACCACATAGCTGTGAATTTTTAAACGCCTTAAAACAAAGACAGGTTTTCAGAGACGCAGCGGTATGTTACCTGTTTCAGACTTTGAAGTACAGAACAATTTTCAGTCTCATGATCCTCTCCACAAACGCTGCAAACTGAGACAAACCCTTCAATATAAATATCCATTTATGCTTTAGAATAATTTCGATTGAAAGTTGATTTACCAAACACTTGCAGGTTCAGGGTGGGACAAGGTTCACTATCAGAAAATGACATAGTTGCAGGTACCGACATGATTACTTGGAGTAAGATAAAATTTGAAAGAAAAGTGAAATATCTGAACTAGTCCAACTACTTAATTTCAATATTGATGGTTTCATAGCCGAAAAAGTAGTTGTGGGGTTGATTGATGTTTTGATCCTACAAAACCTAACCTCGCTTTCACGGCTGTAAATAACTTTGTTTACGTTTATGCGCACGACAGGACCGAAGGCGTTCGTCTGGATTGACGTTTGTTTTTGGGTTATTTCTTGATTATTATGGCTGAGTCCAATGATACTTCAGCGGGAAACGAAGGGAAAATACTGTTCAAACCGAAAAAAAGGAAGCCAATCCGTGCTAGGGAAGTTCATTCAGATGATGACAATGACAATCAAGAAGAAGAAGTAGATCTGTAAGTTAAGGTCTACTCTAACCTCGAGGAGAAAACATTTTACCATTCATTGTGTACATTTCTTCCCTGTATTGTTACTTCCAGAGCCAAACTTGAAGAAATGAAGACGGTCCAGAAACTAAGGAGACGCCCTAATGGTGTAAGCATTGTAAGCCTTGCCATTGGTGAAAAGGTTTCGATGGAAGAGGAAGATATGATTGTAAGTTATCATTTCCATACTATTATTTACTCATGAACATGGAAAGTTTTTAAGTTTGCTCATGGCTTCTAATTTTACAGAGCGATCCATTCAAAGCGAAGGCAGGAGGAATGGTCAATATGAAGGCACTCAAGAGTGGCAATGTAAAGCAGGTGGACGATGCTTATGATGTCGGCATCGGAACCCAATTTTCAGCTGAAACCAATAAGAGAGATGAAGATGAAGAAATGTAGGTTATGATCAGAATATTCATTCAGGAACATATACTGATATAAATGGCTTCTATTTCACTAAGTTTCATGAATATTTTCTAGGATGAAGTATATCGAGGAACAGCTGTCTAAAAGAAAATGTAAAACAAAACAGGAAAATGAAGATGGGCAGCAGGAGGACACTTCAAAGTATCTTTCCCCTGAAGAGGCTGCTCTTCAAGCTGTACCAGAACACTTAAGAGCCTCCTCTACTCGACGCTCTGAGGAAATGTTGTCAAATCAAATGTTAAGTGGAATTCCAGAAGTTGATCTTGGAATAGAGTGAGTATGGCACATGTACCTTGTCTTGGAACTAAAACAATTTTGTTTCAATCCACTTAGTTTAAATCTATCCGGTTAAAAAATATTTTCTTCCTTGATAGAGCCAAAATTCGTAACATTGAGGCAACTGAAGAGGCCAAGCTAAAACTGTTGTGGGAGCGACATAATAAGAAAGATGGCCCCTCACATTTTGTTCCAACAAATATGGCTGTTAATTTTGTTCAACACAACAGATGTGAGTACAATACAGTTTTTAATGATCTTTTTCTCCTAACAATGTAGCCAAAACATCTGCTGATTTAACCTGCGTGAATTTATTTGTCATCAGTTAACATTGAAGAGTCAGGCCCACCCAAACGACGCAGAAATGATGCTCCTGTGGATAAACGCAAGACCGGAACAGCAAGTACGAGTACCTCAGGCAAAGACGGAGATGATAAAGCGGGAGGAAAGGCTACGGACGACTATCACTATGAGAGATTTAAAAAACAGTTTCGGAGATTTTAATTTATGTTTACTTAAATTTTTATCATTCTACCTGATTATTTCAATAAAATATTTATATCCCAATGACTGTACCACTTCATACCTTTCCATAAAACAGCAATTATTCATATTTTTTTTCACAATTTCATTCACATGTAGCCTGAGGCTTGGCGCCGCTAGTTCGATACGGCAAGGGGGATTCCCTTCTATCTGCAAGTTGCCCGCGTATTTGAATTCCCGCGCCCTCCGGTGTTTCCGGGGAACAAAAGACGCGCGGAGAAACAGCGGAACGGAACGGAAGCCAGAACCAGACGACATGCGACAGACGATGCAAGGTGCTGTGATGCTTCAGGCAACTCTCAAAAAATAAGTTAACTGCTCTTTCAAACTAGTCATACAGTGAGATTTAAGAGAGAGATAATTTAAAAATGAGAGCCAATCAATTAGCATTGAGCTATGGAGCATGTCAAGGGTTCTGGGGTGCGAAGCGTGCACATTTTAGCACCTTGACGCGAAAGTGGTCAACAGAGTTGTTTTGTGCCCCATGTCAATATTTGCAAATGGTTAGTGGTTTCCGAACCACACTAGTCTCCCCTCACCGAAGGAAATTTCACTCTAGTCGTCAACTTTCTGCCCTTCAGCGTCTCTCACCTCAAGAGGTAATGGGAATAAATTTTGTCTTTCCTTAACCTCTTTACACACTTCTAAATGCACTTTATTTTTCTGCTGTGAAGCAAATTATTTAGTGGTATGTGCTGGTCAAAAGATTTATAAAAGAAACAAGTTTTAAAACAATTACTTTTACAGGTTACGGACAGATTACGTCAAAATGAATATACGCAAGAATTTAACTCCGGAGGATCTATGAAATCCTTTGACTCCAACCAGCTCTCGTCCAACAATCCCATTGAAGACACTCGGTCTGAAGCTCGCTGCCTCTTAACTGCCGGTAAATTTTTTTTGTGCTCATCCTCATTTGATTTCACAAAGAAGTCTTTTTGCATAATTATTTGGGCTTGTCTTCTGATTTAAATCCTATGTTCTAGGCATGCTGTTTGGTGTATTTGATGGTCATGGAGGTGCAGCTTGTGCCCAGGTCATAGCAAAGCGGCTTTTCCACTATATTACTGTTTGCTTGCTGCCTTCTGACTTGCTGCAGGAATACCATCAATCAGATTCAAACAAGAAACTCCTTGAGCCATACAATGACAAGTTACAGTTTTATGAGGATTTACAGCAGCTTTATGATAAAAGTTTCAAACTTTTTGTGGAGGAACTGGCAAATGAAAAGAAACAGAAAGAGGAATTTCAAATGAAGGATGCCCTAGTAAAAGCTTTTTTAAAATTAGATGGAGACTTGTCAAAGGAAGGGAAATTGAGTAATAATGGGGAGGTCAATAAGAGAACTTTGTCTGTAGCTATGTCAGGTGCTGTGGCATGTGTGGCACACATTGACGGTCCTCACCTCCATGTGGCAAATGTTGGAGATTGTCAGGCAGTCATTGGGGTTTTAGGTGAAGGCAATACATGGACTGCAAAGAAATTAACCGATGAGCATAATGCAGATAACATTTCAGAACTTAATCGGATAATCAAACAGCACCCTCCCAGTGAAAAGGATACTGTAATATCAAGCGATAGGCTTCTGGGTCAGTTAGCACCCCTTAGAGCTATGGGAGATTTTCGCTACAAGTGGTCTCGAGAAGAGTTAACAAAGTATGCTGTCCCCACTTACGGTGAAAATGTCATAGCACCTCACTACCACACTCCACCTTATCTAACATCATGCCCTGATGTTTCTTACCATAGGCTTCGTCCTAAGGATAAATTTTTAGTGATAGCTTCAGACGGATTATGGGACCTAGTGTCTCCCCTCCAGGCAGTTAGACTGGTGGGAGAACACATGAGTGGCAAGGTTACTCTTAGTCCATTTCGATTGCCAAATGCGAATATGACTTTGAATGATATTAATGAAGCCCTTCAGCAGCGGAAAGAAGTGTTAAAGTTAAAGCCTATCGACAAAAATGCTTCCACTCATCTTATCCGAAATGCCTTAGGGGGGTCTGAGTATGGGCTGAGTCATGCAAAATTGTCACAGATGCTCTCCCTTCCCGAAAGTATTGTAAGACTGGTTCGTGACGATATAACCATTACTGTCATTTACTTTGATTCAGACTATTTGCGACACTGTCCATTATAATTGTTCAGTATTTAAGTCAATGATGTGATTATGTTATTTTAATTGTGTAAGCTTTATTTGACCTGTAAAGCTTACTCATTGATGTGACTGATTTTTTTGCTCCAATATACTCTGCTTCTATTAAGTGTATTTTAATCACCGCAAGCCCTCCCCGCCCCCACAACTTAAAACAATATTAATTTTTGATTAAAAATTCAAATACGAAAAAGGGGGGCTGTCCAGGCAAGCAAGCGTGCGCTACAGACTACAGGCCCGGGCGCTAGGTCTTGGCGACTTCCTGTTGGCACCATGCGAACACCGCGAACCGCTGGAGCCACACCGGCACGGCGAGTCCGCTAGCGCTAGCGCCGTCCACGTCGAGTGAAAATGCTATCCTCGATTGATTCGCGACCCCCCTCCATTATGTCGCAATGCTCAGCCCGCTAGTCCTCGCGGGGCCCTGCCTGCCGTGCTGTTCGCCACTCATATGGGGCAGCCGCGCGCTCCGCGGCCGGGCCGGGCCGGGCCCCAGTGGGCTGCCTTGCCACTTGCCATTGGCTGGATTGGCTGCCCCAGGGCTGCCCCGCCGTCTCTGCCCGACGCGTGCGCGTGCCGGCAGGGCGGGCAGGGCAGGGCAGCACGCGTGCCGCATGCTTCCGCCCTGTCTGGCTGGGCCGGGCATGGCAGGGCATGGCTCGCCATGTCGCGCTTCCGCTTCGGTTTCGGTCCGGCCGGCCGGGGCAGCCAATGGCAGCCAATGACAGGCAGCCGCGCGTAAACCCTTAGCGCGTCTCATCGGGCCATCGGACACACAGCGGCTGCCTCTTGGTCCCTCGTCATCGGCCAAGCAGAACTCCGATTAAAAAGCTTAAATGGCAACGACGCAAAAATTGGAACAAGCTCAGTGCCGGAGGGTGATTGGCACCTCTGTCCAGCAGTCCAGCCTCCCCTCGCGACCCGTCTTCCGTCTCGTGGTCCGCGTTGCTCCTGCATGTAAACAAGACCCAGCCCGCTGTCCGCCCTATTCCTGTTCTGCAGCGGCGCGGCGCGCAGACTGGGCAGACAGCGGAAACGGTACTGACCCCGATCCCCTACCGGCCCTTCCCCCACCCAGGCAGCCAGCCAGGCAGCCAGCCGCTGCAGCCACCACCACAATCATAGTGACGCGGCGCGCGGTACCTGCTTCATGTGCGTCTCAAGCGCGCGCACGCACACACACACACACACACATGCGTGGAGCGCATTGCGGTGCGAATGCAGGCCGGTCTGAGCCCTTGGCTGCATTTATCGGTTCCGTTCCGCGCGCCGCCGCGCCGCCGCGCCGCCGCCGTCCACGCAATATCGGACTCGATGATTCCGTTCTGATGGCTTCGCCTGCGTCGCCAGGCTTCGCGAAGTGAGAGCAACGCGCGCGCCAAACACGTCCGTACGTCGGCCGCGCCGTCGTCGCTCTGCCTCTCTCGCACCCCTGCGCGACGCACCTCGAGTGCGAGAGAGACAGCGCTACGAAAGCACTCTTTGGAATGAGCAGCCTCCTGCGGGGGCCGAGGGCCTAACGTGTCACCTTAGTAAGGACGGCCATGTCCGAAATGGCCAGTCCGAAATGGCATACGATCAGTTGTAGTCTAGCCCGTAATGGTAATGGTAATGGAGCGCCTGCGAGCGTAGGCACCCCGCCACGCGCGCGTGTGCTGCGACACTGTGGGTGGCCTACCCGGCGGTCGGCAGGCGCTAGGCCGGCGGACGCCGGGCCTCCGGGACACCGAGACTCCAGGGCCGGGAGAAGATAACGATAAAATGTCCGGTTCCTTTTGCCTTTCCCAACCGGACGAGAAGACGCGGCATCCTAATGGGAAGGAGCCGTGACGCCACGCCCCGCCACGCCCCGCCACGCCGTGTCACAATATCAGGAAAGAAAAGGCAGAAAAATAAAAATAAAGCGCGAAGCGCGGCGCCGCTTTAGCACGCCGTAGGGCGAGCTGTAGGGCGCATCGGGGCCGTCGGGACCAGGCGCGGTTTATGGAAGCCAAGTGACGGCCGGCGAAAAAGCGGGAAAGTGTGGAGTGGCCGAATCTGAGGTAACGGCGGGCCGGGGGGTAACTGCCGCCCGTTTGCCGCCAGCCCGAGCAGCCGGCCTGCGGTAACTCTGGTGATAAATCAGCGGCGGGGTAGTCTCCGCGGTGATTCCAGTTTCGTTTCGCAGTTCGCAGTCTTCGCAGTCCGTCCACGCCGCCCCGTCTCTCTCGCACTCACGGTCCTCACGGTGCGTGACTCCGCGCCACGTAGCCGAGGTGTCCAAGTGGTCATAACAGCAGCGAGCACTGCCAAAGGCGACATGGCACGGGATCGTGCCCGACGCACCCGCCAAAAAAGCATCTGCGAATATCGTCTGCGTTTTGGCGGGTCGGCGCGGGCGTTCCGGAGCGTTCCGGGCGAGGGGGTTCCGGCGACGGCGGCGGCAGGGCGGCCGGGCCCCGGGTGGGGCTCGGGGGTAGAGCACGCTGCTCGAGAGAGGGGCGCCGCCGCCACGCCGCCGTGGCTCACGCTGCCGGCGCTGCCCGCGCTGTCCAGCCGATGGTATATAAGTTGGGTGAGGCGACGCGGTCGCTGGTCGCTGCGAACCTGCCGTCCGGACGAGCGTGTTGAGCCTCGAGCGCCTCCTCCGCGCCAACGACAAGCATGGCGTCTCTCAGGATAACCGTGAGTACAACCAGTGCGTTGCCGGAGACTGGTGAGGAGAAACTTTTCATCGAATCCAGCCGCTTTGCTGTGTACGTGTGCTACGATTCTCCGAGCCGAAGCCCCGAAAATAGTGTCTATAGTCATATTTTCTAAAAGACATTTCTCGGGTTTTGGCATAACCTAGATAATTACGGAGTACATAGCCATAGTCTCAACAACTCCACATTGATGCTTTAATGGTATTTATGACAATGACCGGACTACAGAATGCAGTTTTTCACATCAGAATATAATGTTGTAGTTAGCCAAATCATCCGGTGGAGGAGAATAGACGCGTGTTAAATTTCGGCGCCTAGAAAAGTCTAGGCTTGGCCATAGAGGGGCAGGGCAGACCCTCGGGCGAGCCAGACAGAGTGACGTCATGGCGGCACGGCGCGGGACACTCGATTGCACACTATTCGTGCGGAAGGAACTGGTTCCCGCATGCGTGCCGTGATCCGGAGCAGCAGGGCAGGGAGGGCCTCGCCGGCCTCGCCTTCCGGGCGCCACCGGGACGCGGCGGACGCAGGCATGCCGCGTGCCCTGCGTGCCCTGCATGCCCTGCGTGCCCTGCACGCCGCACCGCGCACACGCCACATACGCGGCCAGTTCGTCGCTCCGTCTCTCTCGCGCCCAGCACGGGGAGCCCCATGAAAGCGACAGAGACAGAGCGACAAACGACTCTTGTTGGAATGGCTCGGCTGACCCGCTCCAGTCTCGGTGACGCGAGGCTGTTACACGGGCTACGCTGGCTGGGCGAAGCACAGCGAAGCAGCGCGTAGCAGTGGCGTTGGCGGTCGGCGTCACGTTCTGACGTTCTGGTTTTGTCCCGCAGGTGGCGCTCGCCGTGCTCGCGGCCGTGCTGGCGATCGCCGTCTGCCTCCCCGCCCCCGCGCCGGGCGGCGGCCACCACCAGTGAGTCCCCCACAGTCGGCCACCATCCCTCTCTAGCGAGCCCTCCAACTCACCCTCGACTCTTCGCCATTTTGCAGCACCCGGGTCCGAATCCACGTCCCGCACAAGATCCACCACATCCACCACCACCACGTCAAGAAGGTGCCCGTGTACGTCAAGGAGAAGCACCACCACGAGCACGAGCACCAGGAGCCGGGCTACTACAAGAAGAGCGACAACCTGGACGATGGCCTGGAGGAGGAAGAGGAGGAGGACGAGGAATAGGCACTCCCCAAACCAAAAACTGAGTCCAAATTGTTGTTATTGTTGTTTTTTACGCCGCTACCTTTGCAAAGTCTGTGATATTGGTCGAGACTCGTTGCCGCCGGGGTTTGTCCGAGATGAGAGAGCACGCTGAGCCTCGTCCCCGCCATCCCTCGCTCCAGGACGCTCGCCTTGTGTACATAACTTAGTGTTTAATAAAGGGAAGGCCCCATCGAGCCCCAATCAAGTGCGTCTGTCTGCCCCTTCCCCTCACACGAGACGGCGAATGCTCACAAACCACAAGCCATAAGAAACGCACATCGTAATCTCACCTCGCTTTCCTGACCGCGCGAGACGCGAGTTAAGTTGCCCACACTGCGGGCGGAGCGAGGTGGAGTGCAGAGCTAGCGACCGTAACGTCTCCTCCAGCTGCACTGCGCTGCTGCGCCGACAGGGTAGGCAACCCTTCGGCCGCCACCGCCGCCTCGCCGGTCTAGTCGGCGCGGCGTCGGCGGCTGCCGGTCTTGTTGTTGTTTTGTTGTACCTGGTGTTGGAAAGCGGCTGCCCCCACACACTGACACACTGCGCGCCGCCCGCCCATAACTTTTGCCCGCTAAGTGGTGGCGAGCACGCCAGCAGCAGCCAGCAGCAGCAGCCAAGGCGGCTCATTCCGATCCGAACCTCGCTTTCAACGCCCTGTCTCTCTCGCACGCGCGGGGCGTGCTGGCGTGCCCGTCGGGGTGCGAGGGAGACGGAGCGACGAAGGCACCGCGCCGGCCGCGGCGTCGCCGGGCGTCGCCACACCGGCGCGGCCCGGGGCGTTGGAAATGAGGGGTCAGCAGCTGACCTGTCGGCCGGCGTGTCCCGGCGGAACCCCGGCGGAACCCTGGAGGAACGTACGTCCAGGCGGAAGGAAGTCACCCCGTGGGAGACGCCGCGGTCGCATCGTTTTCCTGACGGTTATTTCTGGGTCCCCGCTGCGCTGTCCGGCCGCACGACGGCGACGGCCTCCTTCGGGTGCTGGCGGTGCAGGCCGCCTCCACCTCGGCGACGAAGGCAAAGAGCACGCCGACGACGGCCCGGCCGCTGGAGACTCCCTTTCCACGCAGCGCCGGCCGATTCAGAACGGGGCTTTCGTCGCCCTGCCTCTCAGGGACGCCCCGCTGCAGGAGTGCGAGAGGGACAGGGCGACCACGTTGTGTACCGTCCGCACACGCGTGGGGCGTTATGTTATGTCACTTGCTCTCCAGCCGCCGTCGCCGTCGCCACTCCAGCAGTAAAAAGGGAGGGGAGGGCGCCACGGGTGTGGCAAGGTTTTCGGGTCACACGCGCTAACAACAGGAAGCATAGCCGCTCGGCGACAATCTCATATTCGGGCAGCCCACAGCAACTTCCTAAAAAGCGGTCGTCAGAAAGCTGGAGACATGCGAAGAAATGCTCACCAGTGCAGGTGTCGATGCCGGCGTGTCAGATAGGCTCCAGTCCCGCTGCCCTGCGCCGTGCCCTGCCGGACTACCGGACGGACGCCCGAGCTCTGGGTCAAGGCCGGCCGGCCCGGCCGGGCCGATGACGCTCCCGGACGGTCCAGTAGCGGACCCGATCCCGTTCCACGCCAAGCGACGCCAAGCCAGGCTGGCGGTGGTGATGCAAGAGGAACAATGGGACTTCCCTGCCGTCGCTTTGGAGTTGAAATCGATTCACTAACTCCCCCGCGGCGGCTCCAACGCTGTCCGGCGCGTCCGGCCCAGGACGACGACGGATGGCCGCTCGGTGGCACGGCGCACGCGGACAGCAGCGGGAGTCGCTCGCGGCGAACAACGAAGAGCGCCCCGTCAAGACGCGGAGGCGGCCGACAACCACGACAACCACGACGCGGCACCTGCTACGGGCTACGGGTCGCGCAGGGTCACCGACTTGACTTCCGATCGGGAATCTTCTTTGGCCAGGCTGCTTGCTGAAGGCGCCGTGTGCCTCTCCGTGCGAGAGAGACGGAGCGACGAGGACTTTGGAAGCAGCAGCCTGCGGAGCGAGTCAGAAGATCGGTCGCTCTGTCTCTCTCGCACCCGTAGGGAGGGAGCCACGAGAGCGACTGAGAGAGAGAGAGCGACAACCGCACGGCGGGCCATCCAACCCTTACCGGCCGAAACACGTATTCCTCCACTTTCCTCCTCACACACGTACGTTACACAGGCCGGGCGGACCTCTTACATTTTCGTATGCTTTTTGTTATTCCCGTGGAATCCACTGCTAAAAATGCACCGTGCCGTGCTGTCCAGCTTTCCAACCACCACTTCCACGAGCGGAGTCGGCCCGAAGTGTCGCCGCGCTCGGCCAGGCCCGGCCAGGCGCCTCGCAGTGTAGCGGCACGTACACACGCCGGCCAGCGACCACGTGCAGCAGTCTTGTTCCGAACTGAGCTTCGTCGCCTGTCTCTCTCGCTCCATGACGGCACGCCCCACGAGTGCGACAGAGACGGAGGCAGTCCAGTGCCGGCCGTAATAACACACGGCGGCCACACGCACAAAATACAGATTAAACAAAAAGTTGCGAAACCTTTTTTTTTGGCGGGGGACCAGGGCGTTGTTTGTGGCAGTGTGGTGGTATCCTTCCCCGCGCCGGACGTTGCCAGGCAGCCACCCGCTCTGCAGCGGCGTAGCCCTGCGGACCGCCGGGCCACCGCCGGGCCACCGCGACTGGACCCGCCAGATCCGTTTCCGGCGTCATGCAAATTATTTTATTGCCTTTATACGGCCAGCCTTATAGTGTGTGTGCGCGCGCGCTCGCAAGGGCCGAAGCGTAAAACTATTGTCTTGAGCCTGCTGCACGCGCCTGCATCCGCTGCACTGCAGGGGAAAAAAATTTCAGTTGCCGCAGGCATAGGTCAAAGAAAAGGGATCGAAATTTTTGGTCGCAGGATACACACTGGAAAAATGTACAATTCGGCTCGCCTGAAAGTGTTAAGATTTTTGGAATTTTTGGGGGGTAATTGCATCTGCCTGCAGGGCGCGGAGGGGCTTACGGAGAGAGACCAGACGAGGAGAGAAGGACCAGTGGAGGAGAGGGGCGGGGAGAGAAGGACCAGTGGAGGAGAGAGAGATGCGGCGTGGAGGAGGAAGCCGACGGAGAGGGTCACGGCTACGTTCGCGTGCAAAGTGACGGCATCGTGTGGACCGCCCCCACCCCCTCCCCTCCCCTCCCCTCCCCCGGAGGGAAAACGGCCGGCACGGCATTCCCCGTGTCGGCGTGCAGCTTATCCAAACAGTGTAGGCACCGATAGCATGTCGTGTGTTGTGTTCTTTCTTCCGGTCCACATCGAATCGTGAAGATGGCCCGCTGCCTCCTCGCGGCGGGGCGGGGCGGGGGGAGGGGGGGGGGAGGGGAAGCCACTTACGCCAGTCAATGAGGCAGAGAAAGAGAGAGACAAGGAAAAGAAAACACATTCGTTTCTTATTAATGAAAAGAGGCGTTGTTACGACGCTAGTTTGGCATTTGCGTGAAGCGGGCCGGTGCAGCCGAACAAGTACCTCCGTTCGCACACTGGCGGTGTCCTCGCGGGGCATCGCGGAGCCCAGACGGGCCAGGCCATTGGGCCGATGAGGTAACGCGCCTCAGAACTGCAACCATAATTCTCGGCGATTCTCCGTCGGTCCGTCGGTCCGTCTCTCTCATCGGCCGCCCCATCTCGCCGGTCGTGCGACGGTCACCCCAAATAACGAGAGCGTCGCGACGCCGGCTGTCGAAACGGTCCCGCATTTACCTCGACGGACATTGAAAAGTACACAGCGAGGAAAGTAAATTAAACGGTGCAGGTTTTTTCCCCCTGCCTCGGCGGCGGCGTGTTTCCCGGCCGCCTGCAGGCTGATTCCGGACAGTCGCTCCGTCTCTCTCGCACCCCCAGGGCCCCCAGGGCTCGGCCCACGAGTGCGAGAGAGACGGAGCGACGCCTGACGTATTAATGCGCCACACTCGCTTCGCATAAGCCTCCGTGCGATGCAGTGCGATGCATCCGGGGCGCCATCCGTCCTCCGCGCTCTGCGTCGCTCTGCGTCGCTCTGCGTGGCTGCGTCGCTCCGCGTAAGGCGTGTAACACAGAGCACACACTGCGAAAAAGAGAAGGAAAGAGTGATTGGACGCAGGAGACAAATGAGGGCGTGCGCGCTGCAGCCGATCGTCTGGCTGCCATTATAAACCCGCGAGCGGCAGCGGCAAATGGCCAAATCCCCCCACCACTCGAGGTGCACTTTTTCTCCGGCGATGATGGTCATCAGCTCGCCTTGTAGGGGATGGGGCCGGATGGGGCCCCCTTGGGGGTGAAGAGGCGGCCCATGTAACCTGCAATGCATGCATTGTGGCAGTCGTCTCTCTCGCACTCGTGGGGCGCGCCCTGGGGGCGCGAGAGAGACAGAAGCACCAGCCCGCATGAATGGTGACAATCAAGCCGACGGCTGCCTCGATGCACCCCCAGGTCATGAACCATCGTTACGCGGAATAGTAGACCACTTTACCGCAAAAGACCGAAATTTACCAAAAAAAAAACCCTAGCTGGCACCTTGATGTGTTATTGTTTTATATTTTTAAGGTAGGTATCATCTGCTTTAAAAAAATTAAATCATCTGCTTTGGTTGGCCAGGCGAGGGGATGCTGGTGGGGGCTTCCTCCAGGCGCTCCAAAGTGCAGCAGGCGGGCGCTGCGCTGGCCCGCTGGGTGTGGTGGGGCGCCGCGCAGGGGTGGCCGGGACGGGCGGGGCGGGGCGGGGCGGGGCGCGGCGGGGCAGGGCGCGTCTATATAAGCAGGTGCCGGCGCCGCGTTCGGGTCACTCACAAGAAACGTGTCGCGATTTGCGCCCGTGAGCGGACGTGCCTAAGATGGACTACCTCAGGATCGGCGTGAGTAGAGTGTAGTGTCGCGAGTGTGTGCGCGTGTGTGAGAGAGCGTGTCTGACCACAGCAACGACTGGAGCGTGGGCAGGAGGCGCTGACCTATTGTCAGCACGCTTGCCAGTGTTTTCCGAGTCGAAGAAAGTGCATGCGATGATGCATCATAGTGTAGGAGTGAGTGGGTACTCTAGAGTGGCAACTCTGACTCTAGGATCTTGTTGACGGCCCTGACGGACCTGAAGGGCCACAGGTCGGACGTCCGGCCCGGATCTCTGTCCTTGGTCGCCGCTCGCCGCCCAGCCCGGCCGGCCGGGTGATGCAACCGTTATGTAGGGTGCCCCTTGTAAACACGTCCCGCTGTAATAGCACGTTGCCGGCCGCCTCTTGCCACTGCGCGGTGTCTGTGTGTGTGTGAGGCAGCTCCGTCTCTCTCGCACCGCCTTGACACCTCCCGTGAGCGCAACGGAGAGAGAGCACCGTCGGTCACGCCCTGGATGTAGGCAACCCGATCGTGCAGCACGTGGGGCCTATCTTTGGTCCGGATCGGCTGCAGAGTCCCTCGCTGCTTTCCAAAAGGACCGACCGCGTGGAGCGGAGTGGAGCCTCTGCTCTCCGCGCCTCGCCTCGCCTCCAGACACACACGTATTTGCTCGCAGCCAGGAAGCAAGTCCTGGTTATTGCCATGGACTGTTAATACTGGACTACCCTGCAAAAAACGAAAAAAAAGGCGCAAGAGTGTAAACTTGTCCGGCAGTGTCTCTTCGGCGACGACTCGAATGCAGCGCGTGCGTTGAAATCCCGCTTAGTGTCCGTCGTTATGGGGGTGCAGGTTGTCGTTAGTCTCCCGGCTTTACCTCGTGCGTCATAACATTGGCACCCTGTCAAACAAGTCAATCCATCCTGCGGAAAATGTAGAGCACTTGTTGCAACCGTAAAGTCGTGGGGTGGCGCGAAAATGAATGGGTCCAGTGTAGCCAGCCTCCGCGCGGAAGAAAGCGCCCCCTGTCGTCCGGGCTGCGCTCTGCCAAGGCTCTGCTACTCGCTCCGCTACGATAGTCGATTAATCGATTACTCGAACGGCACCGGCTACCCACCGCCCGGCTGCGCGCCTTGCCCGGTCAACCCCTTATTAACGTTGAGTCATCGGCTCGGTCCTGCTGCTGGCACACTGCTCGCCAAGTGGATCAGACGCTGCGCTGTTGGTGCTGTGCTTCTGCGAGCGCAGAGCGGCGCAGAGCCAAGGCGCGCGAACACAGATCCGCGTACTCCACACGTACCACAATTCGATTTTCCGCAAGATAAAAGCTGTAATTTTAGTAAAAAAAAAAAAATTGTAAGAAAAAATGCTGTTGGATTTTTTTTTTAAATTTTTGTCGTGTAGCGAACATTAGTGCGACATCTCGCTGCAAAATGTCACACCGCATACTCCGGGGGCCTGCGCGGCGCGCACAAGAATGCCGGGCAGCTGGACGGGTTCCGCCACGGCGGCGCGGTGCGGACCGGCGGGGACCGGCGGGTACCTTGGGTGACGCTTGCTGGCGGCACCGCCTGCACCGGCCACTTGCAGTGTCTCTGCAGCGCCGCAGCCACGCTGCGTCCACTTCTCTTCCGCTTTCTCGGCGCGCAGTGTGCTGCGTAGCACCGCGTGGACGACGGAGTGGTCATCGCACTAGGAATACATATATATTCGCACCTGAGCAAGGCGCGCGACGCGAAGAAGTCGACGCAGCAGAAAGTTTTTTTCTCCTTCTCTCTCTGTTCGCCAGAAGCCGCGCCGCGCTCGTGTTATTTATTGTGTCCGTTCCGGCCATTTAAACCGCACGGTTTCCAGCACTTCTCCCAGCCACCCCATCGACGCGCCGCGGGGGGCCGCGGCGATACGGCGTCGCGGCACGGCATGGCACGGCACGACGCGCTACGGCGCGGTGATGACGCAAACCAAATTAGAGACTTGTCCACTTTCATGGACATTATTTTTTAAAGAGAAAAGCTCCTTGAAATTGAATGAATTAAAAAACGTCCCTCTCCTTCTGTTCCATGCAGATGTGGTCCGTGCTACTGGTGGTGGTAGTCAGCGTCCACGCAGCACCCAGCAGTCACCATCAGTAAGTATGACTAACGCCCACGAGCAGTAAGAGGGGCCTAGTGTCGGGGAACTGGGGTGGGGGGCAGATCGGTAGCAGTAGGCCATTGGGCGAGCAGGGCGGCCGCGAAACAATTGAAAGCGATAGCGTGCTTTCCCCGAGAGGATGCCGTTGCGTGGTCCAGCATCACGTGGTACTGCGCGGTGGCCAGAACGGCCAGAACCACGACGGCGTGGCGAGGCGTGGCGCACCCACACACTGACCCGGCAGCCACCACCTGACAGACGGACACAACAAACAGACGGGACTGTGACGTGTTTATTGACTGTTTGGTGACTTTAAGCGCTTGGCTGGTGACCTCGGCAGGCCGCGGCCGCGGCGCACCAGGCTGATGAAGGCGCTCCCCCCTCCGCGGGTGCTGCACAAGACGCTGACCAAGCTGGGGCCCCTGGCCGCCGGCAACCCCCACTACCGCCCCCTCTACCAGGACGTGAAGCTCCTGGCCTCCCTCGCGTCCCCCAACAAGCACCGCCGCCGACGGCCGCCCCCCAAAAAGAAGGAGGAGCCGCCGTTCATCCCAGTGCCCTGGTTCCAGCCGCCGGGCTTCTCCCCCTCCACCACCATCCACTACCACCTGGCGCCCGTCATCTCACCCGGCGCCTACGCCCCGCAACCCCAGCACGCCCCCTACAGCTACCCCCAGAGCTACCCGCCAAGCTACCCCCAAAGCTACTCCCCGCACGCGCAGTTTGGCCAGCCCCACCTCCCCTACGGCTCGGCCGGCACTCTGGCTCCGTTCTACGGACCGTCTCCGTCGTACGGCCCCCCAGCCCTGGCACCTGCGTACGGCGCTCCCCCTGCTCACGGCCCACCCCTTGCACCGTCCTATGGTTTCCCCCCCGCGCCGTCCTATGGACCTCCCCCCGCGCCGTCCTATGGACCTCCCCCAGCGCCATCCTATGGTCCACCCCCTGCGCCGTCCTATGGCCCACCAACCCTAGCCCATGCATACGGCCCGCCGCCAGCCCCAGCGCCTGTGTACGGCCCTCCTCCGGCCCCAGCGCCTGTCTACGGCCCCCCTCCTCCGGCACCCTCGTACGGCCCTCCGACCTTGGCGCCGTCGTACGGACCTCCTCCGGCCGCGGCGCACGCGTACAGTCCTCCACCCTCGTACAGCCCCCCGACGCCAGCGCCGTCGCTCGGCTTTGCGAACTACGTGGCCCCGCAACCCTTCCCGGAAGACGCGCACCCCACCCCGCCTCCCAGCAAGCACCGTCCCGAGGACTACGACCTGACCGGCGGGCCCTACCCCGACCGCGTGCCCAAGGACTGCTGCCAGCACAAGACCGTTTTCAAAATCAAACAAACCATTCCCGGAGGGAACACCCTGCAGATCCGGCCCGTGGACGTGGACGTCCGCATCAAAGGGAAACGCGTCCAGAAAGACCGGCCACCCGGCCCTGCCAAACCTCCGTCCAACCCGAAAGCAGCGGCACCCACGCGGAAGCCCCAGAGACCGCGGCCGAGCCACGCCGACCTCGACTTCGGCCCGTCCACCAGCCAGAACCTCCCGCAGGGCCTTCCGCCCAGCCACCCCTGGACGTCTCACCCCCGACAGGCAACCCTCTGGACTACGTGGTCTTCACGAGCAGCCCGCCGCCGCCAGACCACTCCCCTGAGACTCCACCCGAGGCACTCAAACTGAACCTGGACCTCGACGACTACCTCCCTGGACCGCATCTGGAGACGGTGGCGCCCACGCATCGGCCTGGTCACCGCCAGCCCGCTCAGCAGGACCCGGAACGTATTCCCGTTATCTTGCCCGAGGAGACCTTCCAGGAGGCGCTTCCCCAACCTTTGTCTACGACGCGTCCTCCCAGGAAACGTCGGCCGAGCACTGTTGACTTGGACTTGGAACACTCGACGAACCCGTTACCGGAAAGTCACCCTCCAGAGCCCACACTAGACCTCAGGCCTCCCACTGGAAGCACGCCAGAGAGTGATTTCTTTGTTGAGCGCCTGCCGAAGCCTCAGACTGAACAGACGAAAACCCGCCGCCCTGCCAACGTAGTCCTGGACACTCCTGCTATTGATGACTACCACCCTGGACTAGAGCCGCCTCCACCCATGCAACGGCCTCGCCACCGCCGGCCTACCCCACAAGACCCAGACCTGGAACTCTTACCGAATCGTCTGCCGATGGACTACACTCCAGAGTCGTTTTCGGAACCACTGACCATAGGACGTCGTCCCAAGAAACGCCGACCCAACAACGTGGACTTGACCTCCGAACCCCCGACAAACATATTGCCAGAAAACCAGGCTCTGGAGCCGTCTCTGGGACTCAGGCATCCCACTGGAATCCAGTCGGAGTATGCTGTCTTTGTTGATCACTTGCCAAAGCCTCAGACAAAACAAACAAGGAAGCGCCGCCCTGCCAACGTAGTCCTGGACACCCCTGCCGTTGATGACTACCACCCTGGACCAGAGCCGCCTCCGCAACGACCTCGCCATCGCCGGCCTGCCCAGCAGGTCCTGGACTTGGAACCCTTGCCGAATCGTTTGCCAGTGGACAACGCCCCAGTGTCGTTCACGGAACCACTGACTTAGGACGCCGCCCTCGCAAACGCCGACCCAACAATGTTGGCCTGAACTACGAACCCCCGACAAACCTATTGCCAGAAAACCACCCCCTGGAGCCGTCGTTGGGACTTAGGCCTCCCACCGGGATACGATCGGAGTACGCGTCCTTCTTTGATCGCTTGCCCAAGCCTCAGTCGGAAAACACACGGGGACGCCGGCCCGTCCACCTAGACCTGGATGACTACCGCCCTGTGCTGCAGCCTCCCCCGCCCACGCAACGAACTCGTCATCGCAGGCCTGTCCAGCAGGACTTGGACTCGAAACCCTTCCCCAGTCGTTTGAAGGAGGGCGTCCCAGATCCGTTCCTAGAACCCCCAAAACGACGTCCACGAAAACGCCGGCCCAGTAACGTGGGCTTTGACAGTGGGTACCCGACAGGCTGGTTTCCGGGCAGGCCTCGGGGCCTCATACCTCCCTCCTATCCGTCGGAGTATGCGTACTATTTCGACCGAATGCCCAGGCCTCCAGCGCGACAAGTTCACAAAAGGCGCCCAGCTGAACCGCAGTTGGACGCCTCTGCCCTCCAGGGCGATCGCCACCCTGGGCTGCGATTGGAGGCCCCGGCCCGTGGTCCACGTCATCGCCGTCCTGCGCACCAGGACCCGGACCGGGAACCCTTTTCTAGCCACCACCCCGCGGAGCCCTTTCCGGAACGCCCGTCTCCAGTCCCCCGCCCTCGTCAACCCCGGCCTCTCAAAGCGAATCAGCAGCACTTAGACCGCTTGCCCGAGGACTACCCCACAGAGCCACCGCCCTACCTCACGCCCCCCGTGTCGAACCTCGTGCCCGTCACGAAGGCCTTCGCGAAGGGCACCGCGCCGCGCCCGGAGGACCCACCCCGGAGGCGCCGGCCTCGAAAACACCGCCCCAGCGACCCCTCTCGGCTTGCCATCCCCCCGCTGGAGGACGGCCTCCCCGAACCGCCCCCGGAAAGACTCCCCGAGAGTGGCGTCCCCAGCGCCGTGTTGCGGCCCCCGCCCGTCCCAGACACGTGCTCCTCGGACGTGTGTCCCCCGCAGCCCTCGCCGCCGTCCCCGGAGGACTGCCCGCCGTGCTGCTGCGGCGCCGACGGCAACCCCGCTTGTCCCCCCTCGCCCTCCCCCGGCGGGCCATGCACTAACTGCTCCCTTGCTTGCAGCACGCACACCATCATCCACGTCCCGACCCGCGTGCACACGGTCCACCACCACCACGTCAAGAAGGTCAAGGTCCCGGTGTACGTGCACCACAAGCACAAGCACACGCACCACCACCACGAGAAGCCCAAGGTGACGAACCACTACCACGCGCACCACCACGTCGAGGAGGAGCCCGAGGAGGAGTACGAGGAGGACGCGCACTCGTGGCACTCCCGCCAGGACGGCGCGGACGACGTCGGCGTCGACGAGCACTACGACGAGCACCTCGACGAGGGCGAGGTCGACCTGGACGACCACGACGGTTACCACCACTACTAGGCGCGTGCGCTGCACCGCGTGTCGGCCGGGCGTCACGGTCGCGGCGCCACCAGAAATCCCACCAAAGATGTAAAGGTGCGTATGTTGGTTGCAGTAGCCGCGAGCGTAGAGGCGTAGGATCACGACGCTGGGGACCGGGGATCAAATCCCACCAAAAATTTGTCAATTTTCTGCAGGCTTTCCCAGAGACTCGAGCTCGCCACCACACCTTACTGTGTCTGTCCGTATGTGTGTGTCGCTGTCTGTCTGTCTGCTGAGGGCGAAGAGATGGCGAGATAATGCAAACCGACCCCCCTGCACTGCAAGCCTTGCTGCGCTGCACTGCTCGTTAGCCCGCCTTGTCGAGCGTTCATCAGAGTTGGTTCGCTCGCGCTGCGCTTCACCGCACGGCGCGCCACGGCGAGGCGTGAGATCTCTCTAGATTGCTGCCAGGACCGCCAGGACCATAGCACACTACCACTGCCTCGCCATCCGTACGTGCCCTGTGTGTGTGAGTCTTTCATCTAATCGTCGCTGGTGTTGGTCACTGACGCAAAGGAGTCCTCCAGACGCGTGCCTGGGAGACTTGGCACACAGACGCAGACTCTCTCACACACACCACGACCAGGAGTAAGTGATCGGAAGGACGACTTCCGGTCTGCGCCATTGGCTGAACCGTTCGCCCAAGTCGGCAGTGTCCACTAGGGCATTCCGCGGGGGAGCGAGAGAGACAGCACTGCCCTCCAGAAGCAGCCGCCAGACTTGGCTCGGCCGGGCCGGCCGGTCGTCAGCGTGTCTGGGACGTCCAGGAAGGCCCTGCGGGGCACGCCGCGCGACGAGGGCCCCTGGATAAGCCCGCTGGAAGTGGAAGGCGCCCAGAGCTTTCCCTGCATTCATCCCTGAACCTCCTTGGCCTCCAAGTCACGTGACCCCCGCTGGCCCCTCCGCACTGCCTCGCTGCTTCGTGACGGAGCACACTGTCGCGGCTGCAGTGCTGCACGCTCGCGGCAAGCGGCGCTAGCGGCAAGCGCGGAGACATGGAGGAGGAGCGGCGGAGCTGCGGAGCGAGGCAGTGGCTTCCTACCCGCGTAACGGGCCCCGCGTCTGCTGTCTGTCTGTCTATCTGTCTCTCCAAAAGTCATTGTTTTGCCTCGGGGCGCGCCCGCTTCTGCATTTATTTTTCCGTTACCATGCTAATTCTAATGTGACACCGCTCTGTTGCAGAGTCGAACGACGACGCCGTTCCGCAGTCCATGTTCGCGCCAAGCTCGTCGGATCCAGGATGACCGCGAGCTGCCACCACCCACAGCAGCGTCTATATTAGATGCTTTTCAATTTGTTGTATATTTTTTAAGATTTTATTTGTTAAAAAAAAGAAAAGACGTAAATTTTGACATTTACATCAATCACAAGTTTTTGAACAGTCAGTCAGTATGAATGTGTCTCGTGTGCCTGAAGTGCGTATGTAAATATTTCTTTATTTTTTCATAAAAGTGAGTGCGTTTGATTGTTGTCTGTTATATGAAATACACCTACTTGCCATTTTTTTCTTGTTGAATTCGGATTCTTTTTAATTGCCTCAACCCATGCCACAATGAAATCAACGACGGGAGTTAGTTGAAAGGCAGAAACTTGGGACAGCAGGGTAAAAGTGAGATGACCAGGGAAGTAAGAAACACGATGGCAGGCAAAAAGGAGCAGCCCACCCGACTCGCTTGGTCGCGCTCTGCTGCGCCTTGTTGCTAGGCAACCCAACGTACACCGAGGAAGGCGCCGTGAGGGTAGGCCACCGAACTTACGTTGAGGGACGCTGTGTGTCCTCCCAGTACAGGGGCCTGGACACCGAGGACACCGCGGACACCGCGCCAAGAACGCAGTACAATCTAAATGATGATTTAAAAAAAAAGAAAAGTAGAGAAATGAGCGCGAATAGCGTCCACTTTCCCTCCAAGGCCAAACCGCGGCGTTTTTCTATAAAAATACCTGGGGCGTAATTGGCGATTGGCAGACAGCATTGCCTCCTCGGCGGTCGGCTGGCTGCGCCTGGCACTGCTTTGGGACCCGCAGAAACGATACAAATAAAAATGTCCGCTCATGGGAGAGTGCGGGCGCTTTGGAGCTGCTCGGGCATACGCACTAAGACTCAGGGCAGCGTGATGGAAGCGGGGTGACACGTCACGGGACACGTCACGGGCGGCACGCTAATCCCTACACTATGAAGAAGTAGAAAACAAAAAAGAATGAAAAACATTGGCAATAAACGCGCGCAATCCACAGCCGCGACGCGGCTAAGACGCGTGTAGTAGCGGCAATGGCGCGTGCCGGAGGCGGAGCGGGGGGAAACTGGAGAGTCGAAAAGAAAGACGTAAAAATGAGAGCAGTCGCTATTGCTGACCAGCGAGCCGGGCTGGGCAGCGCGGCGTAGCAAGAGCAGCGCAGGGCAGCATAATGATAGACGAGTGCCACGTCATCAGGCATGCAGGGAGGCACATTGCCCCGCAGGGGGGAGGAGGAATTATTTGGTAATGTCGGGCAACCGGTTCATGCGCCGACACTCACACACACACACACACACAACACACACACACACACACACAACACACACGTGCCGCGGTGCGACAGGCGAGCGTCGCGCTGCCGCGGCCGTTCGTTCATTTGATGGAATGAATCACCCGTGTCATGTCAACCTCTTGGGTTGCATCGGTCATCGCTCTCTCTCTCTCTCGCCGCGCGGCGGTGCGAGAGAGACAGAGTGACGGTAGCGCGGCTCTTTCCCCGACCCGCGCGTTCAGGTCTCCGCGTGGGGCTTCATTCATGCAGTGGCCGTGCCGCCAGAGACGCGAAGGGGCAACCTGCAACCACAACGCAAGAAATTAAGTACACATTCACCAATCATATTTCTTTCACAACGTTAAAACTCACTTTAAGAAAAAAACTAACTTTTCAATTTCGGGAATCACTTTTTAAAAAATTTGTAAAAAAAAGTTAAACTAAACATATTTGAAAAAAAAATTGTTTGCGCTGGCACGTGTTGTGGGCGTTGACGTTACACTGACCGGAGCAAAGATCAAGGCTCATTGAGAAATGAAGTGGCCCGCCCAGAGAGCGAGAGACAGACAGAGAGAAAGGAAGGAGTGTGCGGGACGCGACTGACCGTGTGAACGTGTCTTCCCTTCATTGTGCAACGACGTGTGGCGGGGCGGGGCGGGGTGGGGCGGGGTGGGGCGGGGCGGGGCGGGCGGCCCGGGAGTCGCGAATCGCCATTTCGTGACAAGGTTACACTTTCCCACACGATGCGACGAGCAGTGCCAAATCGGAGCCACGCATAGCGAAGCATGGCGGACACTTACTATTCGAAGCCGCCCCCCTCCCTCAGCACAATAAAAAACATACGACAAAAAAATGAAACTGGAAAAGGATTGGCAAAGGAATCGAACGCCGTTGGCCTTAAAACTGGCGCCCCTACTCCACGAGCCGCGATGATGAACGGAAAACTCCACTGCCACGGCGAAGCTCTTCTTCTTGCCATGGCGGTAGCGGGATGCACTGCGGGGCGCCTGTCGGGATGCAGCGCTGCTGTCAAGCCGCTGTGCTGCACCGGCTGCACCTGCTGCACGGATGCAGCGGCGAGGGGCGGGGGAGCGCGCCTTTTGGCGGGAAGTGTGAACGAGGTGCGAACGCGCGCGCGTGCGTGAGAGAGCGAGAGTGTGTCCGCTCAAGGAGCCCTGTGTTGGGCCGGCTACCGTCGAGACACGACGCCCTGCAACTTGGCGTGCAAGTCACACCGGCTGTCGCAATATGCGCACGGACTCACACACACACCGACCAATTCAGAAGCTCACACGGATAGAGCGAAAGGACTCGCGCGCGGCATGCACTTCGATCATTCTCATTTGCTCCGCCGGCTGCCCGACTCCGCACAGTTCTTTCGTCGCTCTGTCTCTCGCACTGCTGGCGCGCGCCCGAGGGGTGCGAGGGAGACGGGGCGACGAATCAACCTGGCGCCGCGTCCTCGACTCATCCTCCAATGGCATCCTCGGCATCCAGGGCGTCGGGAGACCGATTCGGCATAATGCGCTTCGAGAAGCTCCTCTGCGTCGCGGCGTGGCGGCGTGGGGCAACCTGCAGGCAATGCTCCGGTCAGCGACGGGGACCGCAGAGGCCGCTCCACTGGCTAGGCCGGGCCAGGCCGGCCGGGCTGGGCCCCACGGGGGGTAGGGGCGGTTGGCGCCACAGAGGGGGCTCTGTGCAGGGGCCCAGGGGCGCAGCGGCGGGGTGGGCGGCAGGGGGGCTGGCGACGGCCGGCCAGCGCTCTAGTATAAGATCGGGGAGCAGCCCCCGGACGGTGTCACAGTCCGCACCGTCCGCAGTCCGAGCCGGCACCCACAAACATGGCCTGCATCAAGAGCATCGTGAGTGTACCCGACGACAAGTCCGAGGGGCAGAAATATGAGGAATCAGCGGTCCAGAGGGCCAAGCGTTGCATTCATGAAAAACTAGTTCAGGGTTCAATTTTTCTTTTAAAAAATCCTTATAGTAGTCATTCTTTAAATTTTTGAAGCCCTTCAAGCCGTTCAATAGGAATGTTGTATTGTCAATTTTATCCGCGCTCTTGAAGAGCAATACGCAGCCCTTTAATTTGCGAAACAATATTTCAGAAATTTGAAAGCTAGGACCTAGCTGCTTGGTGATTTAACGTCTCAAGGCCGAAGGACAGGAGCGACAGCATGCGGAATTGACCAAGTTAGGGGCTTATCCCTGATATTACGTGACTCTTACCTCTGGGAAGAATCCCTTTGGTCACCTCGGCCCCTTGCGAAGCAACGCAGGCCCTCGACCACTGCGCGCGAGCGTGCGTGTGCTGGTCGCCCAGTGGTCCGATTTGGAGGTCCGCCACACGCGGGGCCGTAAACAACGGCCAGTGTGGTTGGTGCGCGCGAGGCGGCCGACACGCGCGTGCTGCGCGCGCACCGCACCGCACGCGACCCGACTGTGCTGTCCGCTGCCGCGCTCTGATTCGTGTTTGTGTGGCGACAGGTCGTCCTGCTGGTGGCGTCCCTCGCCTTGGCGGCCGCCTCGCCCGTCCCGGAGCCCGGCGGCTGGGGCAAGAGCAAGCAGTAAGTACACTCGCCAAACTTGTCACTGTGCTGCTCCCTTCCAACAGAGGTTATGTCCGCCTCATTACACTATTGATCCCCGGCGCGCGGGGAAGCTAACCTCATTCTTTGACCGAGGGTCGTTGCTTGTTCCTTTCGCGACTGATGCAGCACTTGCCTCTTTTTGTCCTGGTATGCGTTGTGGTGCGGGCACCGTCGGGGGCCGTCGGGGACCCGTAACAGGCCGGTGGTCTTGTCGTAAAAGTGACCGCGGTCGATGATGATTGCAATAGGCATGCTCCTTTTTCTCTACGCGGGCCGCTCTGCGGCGGGGCGCGTGTGGCGATGGCGATCGGGTTTCCGGGCCGTTCGCTAGAGGGCGCTGCCGGTCACTGCCGCCCACAAAAAACAACCGACAATCTCGTTCGTACAAACAAAGGAATTGTGGCGATTGGCCAAACTGGCGTCGTCTGAAGCGAACCGCGGTAATGGCGTTTTGAGAGGCGCCAGTCAAAATGACGCAGAGCCCGGAGAGGGTAGCATAGATTATGGCATTGTTGTTGCGCGGCCAAACGGGAGGAGAGTGTGGGGCACAGTGTGGGGCGTCACGAATGGCCAGACGCGCCATGCGACCGCGCGCTTGCGCCACGCCACGCCAGGCGGCGCGTGCTTCGTGCTTACGGCTTTTGGGCGGCGGTCATTTGCGGCGTGCCTGGGCTAAATGCCCGCCCAATTATTCGACCGATTTTTCATACCCCGCAGGAATGCCGCCGGGAGAAACACGAGTGTCTGGCCTACGTGGCGGAAGTCTCTGATCGGGAAGGGTCTCGCGGCCGGGAAACGATACCCCGAGTGCGAGCACTGCGGTCGGCCGGTCCATTGCGTGTAAACTACACTGCGCGGACTCTCACGCGTCTACTTCGGACCCTAGAGAGAGAGAGGTGTCCGTAACGAAACACCGGATTTGAGCACCCGCGTCTCGCAACCGGCGCGACAGCGGTACTACCGTCAAATTGGGCCACCGCCACCCTAACTGTTCTGCCGCTCTGCCCGCAGCACGCACTACATCATCCACGTGCCGTACCACGTGCAGACCGTGCACCACCACCACGTCAAGAAGGTCCACGTGCCGGTGTACATCGAGAAGCACCACCACCACCACGAGGAGCACCACGAGGAGCATCACCCCATCATCAGCCACGGCTGGGACTGGGACAAGTAGGCGGGCCGCCTCGCCGCGCCTTGCCGCGCCCCCGCAGCGGACAAGCTCAATCTAGTCTGAAAACGCGGTGAGTCTCCTCGGGTGCAGGGCGAGTGTCGGAAGCGCGATTTGCGAGCGGACTGGTCCAAGCTGTCCAAGCGGGCGTAGCTGGCACCGTTCGGTTTTCCGTGCTTCTTACCGGCGATGTGGTCCATTTCCTCCCACTGCCGCCTTCACCGCAATAAAGCCACGGGGCGTACAGGTTTTCTGCGCGCCGCGACATGCTGCCCTGCCACCGCGTTGCGGACAGTCTCTCTCGCACTCGCGGGGCGGTAGGGCCGCGGAGAGAGAGAGCTGCCTGCGCGACGAGGCGGTGTTCGGGCGGGACTGCCAACCCATCGATCCATCGACGCGTGTCCTGCGACCACCGCGACCACCGCGACCCCGTGGTCCAGTTCTATTCGCTACCGTTTCCTATCTGACGTTCCCCTCCACTGTTGCAGGCCCGGTGCGTCCGACAGGACTCCCCGGCGTCGTGTCACCACTCGTACAAAGTCACCATCATGTCTTCGTCGTCATCAAGCAAACCACCTCATCCCATCATCCCATCCTGGAGGAACCTCCGTGGAAAAGAATCAAAGAAAAGAAAACAAATTGCCAAAAAAATAAAAGATTTTTAAACATTTAACATTTGTTTTTTTTTTCATTAGTCTTGCAAAATGGAGAGGAAACAATTTGTTGTTTTCGAGAAATGACAACCACTAAGCGGCACCTAGCAGCAACCAGCTACTTGTCGGGCCATTGCAGCCACTGTAATGTACGCGTCGGAGCGCTGCCGCACTGCTAGCCTATCGAGGGGCCTCGCCGCCTAGAAGCGGGGAGCTAGAAGCACCTCCATCCCGGACTAATGCGCTGTCACAGTGTACCCACCACTCCCGCGGGACCGGCTCGCTTGCACCCACGCGGCACGCCCCGAGAGTGCGAGAGAGAGGGAGAGAGGCCCCCTCACTGGGTCGCTGTGCGTAGCACTGCGTAGCCACTTAGTGCGGTGCAATATCGTAAACACACCGCGAGGCGGGAAGCCGCAAACGGACCAGTTACACTTTGGGGTTAACAGCCCGTGTCCAGTGCGTTGCACCGGCATAACCGGCACATTTGTTTTCATTATTTTTTTTTGTCAAGCGGCAGGGCCCAGAGAAAGCCATCAGTCTGATTGAGTGAGTTTGAAAGCGAGAGGACTGCGGATGAGTGACAGTGTCGCGGACCGTGGCGGTCGGGGCGGGGCGGGGCGGGGCGGGGCGGAAGGGCACCGAGGGCATTGATCAAGGCACGCCGCTGTCTATAAGAGGGTCCTCCCGCGCCACATTCAGACTTTCGACCTCCGGCGGCCGCTATGACTGCACCAGCAGCACCAGCAGAGCGCTCGACAGTATGCGAGCTTCCAAAGCTCCAATCCTGGTGAGTAGGGAAGTACTGATAGCTGCGCGCCACGCACTTGAGTCCCCTCAGTAACGTTCGACTTTGTTCGGGGCAGAGCGCGTTGGGGTCCTGGCTGCGTCCGACGCCTTACTTGCTCGGCTTACTGGCCGCGCTCGCCCTCGGCGCCGCCGGCCGCACCATCCCGTGAGTCCCAAGTTCGAAGCCAGGGCATGCCGGGTGGCCCTACATCATCCTCTTTGGTGGGCTGGACGTAGCGAGCGGGAGCAGTGGCGCCTCAAAGTTTGGTTTGCCTTCTCTCAGCGCCTTGCTGCGAGCGCACCCGTCCCTGTCGCTGCCACCCTCCGCCACGTTCCGCCTCGGCCACGTGGCGCCGGCCCTGGCGTCCCCGCTGACGGGGTCCCTGACCGGGCCCTTGACGGGGTCCCTGATCGGCGAGGTGCCCCTGCACGTCCAGGGCCACGGGCTGCAGGGCCTCGGGGGCGCGGGGGGCGTCGTCCACCACCACCACCACCACGTCGTCGTGCTCCAGGGCGGCGGCTACCCGCCCGACGCGCCGCCCTCCAAGGAGGCGATGGCCGCCCTGCTGCACCTGCCGCGCACCGTCCTCGGCCAGCCCCAGGACCACGCCATGTCTCGGGTTCGAATCTCATCGCCAGCTTTTGGCTTTTTCTCTTTCACCTTTGCAGTGCTCGCGAGTTGCGAGGATAAGGAAGACACGCTGGACAGTGCGGTGGACAGTGAGCGGTGGAGTGCCCCGGCTTAGCCGCAGCCATACCGCTTTGTGTGCTGCGCTGGAGACGCTCCGTCGCTCTCGCACCCTTACGGGACGCCCCGTGAGTGCGAGAGAGACAGAGCGACAAAACCGACGGCAAGAATCAGCCGCGAGATTCAGGCCAGTCGCCATGTGCGCCGTGAACCGGCTTTGCCGCCTTCGCGCGTTGGGCACGTTGCGCGTTGGGACACGCTGGACACGGGACGTCCCGGCCGCGCGGCCCGGCAGACCTTTGCGCGGTGCGGCAAAACGCCACCCGAAGGGATTGGCCAACGACGCCAGCCCGCGCCAGGACTGCCAGGACTGCCAGGACTTGAACTAACCTGAGGTCGGGTCAGCCTCGCCACCACCTGGGCCGCCGGGCTGTCGGTGGGTATGGGCCTCCGAAGATGCCGCTGTGCCTACGGTGTCGACACGGCATGCCGCGGTGCGGCTCTGCCAGGGCTCTGCCACGCACGCGGGAACTGGAATGCTAAATTAGGACAACATGGCGTTAACAGCGGCCCGCCGTCGTGCCCTGTGGGCCTGCAGGGTGTTGCGACGCCACGCACTCGTCCCTCGCACTGGGACTCGGCGTCTTGCCGGGCGGCTGGTTTTGCTTCGCTTCCTAAACTCTGCTTCCCTCGTCAAGTCGCAGGCGCCTCCGCCGAGGGTGTACCAGTCCGTGTCCACGATCGGGGGTGGCGGCGTCACCCACCAGTACCACTTCCACAGCGCGCAGGACCTGGCGGCCGCCGCGCCCGCACTCCCGCCGCCACTGCCGCCCCCGCCGCCCCCCGCCCCCCTGCCGCCCCCCACTGCCGCTCCCACGGCCTTCCCCGCGCACGACCCGGACGCCGAGTGGTACGCGCGGCAGCAGGGCGCCCGGTGAGTAGGCAACCCTTCCAGGGCGACGTCGTGGTGGGTTGCGAGCAGCAGGGCGAAAGTCGAGAAAAAATATTTCGGCTGGGGTGGGACTTGAACACGCGTTTTTGATGTTGCAGGGTTATGGCGCTGCTCGGCAAGTTACGCGAGCTGGGCATCCACGTGGACGAGGTGGACGATGAACCTCCGGCCGCGGAGCCCAGCGGACACCGGCACCCGCCGCCGACGCCGTCCTCGACCGCGCCGCCACCACCGCCCCCGCCAGCACCGCCACCCCAGAAGCAGGTCGAGCAAGTCCCGCACCTCGTGCACCAGCAGGGCGCCGGGCACGCCGCGCACCACGGCGACGAGGACGAGGACGAGGAGATGAAGAAGGAGCTCGTCAACTACCTCATCAAGTTCCAGAAGAAGCACAAGGAGCTGCACGTCGACCACTCGAGCGACGAGACAGACCCGGATGGCTTCGCGCGCTGGAAAAACCGCGCAGACGTGGCGCGCGACGACGGCGACGTGGAGGCCGGCGGGGACCTTGACGTCGACGTCGACGCCGCCCTGGAGCCGCCGTCGCGGACCACCCTCCAGGAGGCGGCCACGCTGGCCAAGGAGCTGGGCGTGGCCTAGGTGGGCGACGCCCAACTACTGTGATTACTGTAAATAAACCTCCTTCGTCTTCTTTGCGTTTCCTTCTTACCGACCAGTGCGACGGCCAGAGTACGTTCCCCCTCTCCAACGGGAGTCCCCAGCGCCGCGCGACTGGCAACCGGCAGCCGGTCGAGCACGTTGGGCTGCCGACGCTCTGGGCGCAGGCCGGCGCGGCCAGGGAATTCCCCACGCCGCGTGGCCGCGTCGAGCCGGACGAACCGCAGTGCCTTTTTTCAGGCGGTCGCCGCCGACCGCCGTTTCCTATCCCATGGTGCGCGTGCCATTTCGGACTGCACTTGGAACGACATAACGATGCGCGCGGACGTGTGTGTGTGTGTGTGTGTGTGTGTGTGTGTGTGCTTGTGCGTGTGGCTGTGTGTGAGTGAGCGAGAGGCCCCTTTCTTGTCCAGATGACGGGTCCCCGCGTGCATTTTATTGTCGGCCCCGCGACGCCGTATTTCCTTTGTGAACGGCGTGCTGCCGCCGCGGCCGCCGCGAATGAGAGAGCACGAATTTGGCGAAAGTGACGAGGCGGCGCGTGGCCGGAAGCAGTGGAGCGGCGAAGCGGCGAAGCGGCGGCGGCATGCAAGTGGCGGTCAGGCCCGCCGCCGTCGCGGACACGAGGGAGGAGAGGGGGTGTCACCACCGCGGCCAAAAAGAGACTTTAAAAAGTGGAATATGTATTTTGAAGACGTTCTGGAGCACCCTCTAGTGCTTCCAACCTCCCCAAACCTCACCGCACCGAACCTAACCTCTGCCGTTTTCGCTATCCTGCTCGTGGCCCTTCGGTCCTTCGCGTCGTCCGCCCCGAGTGGTTGCGTCTTCGGAAGGCGGCCCCGTATACTACACTATTCGTGCCCCGTGTGGATCGTAAACGCCCCCGTCTAGCGACTCGTTCGACGCTTTCGACTCTTCGGCGAAATTAAACTGAGCGGTGGCCGCGCTCCTCCCCCCCCCCCCTCGGTTCCGCGATGCTCCGCGCTAAACGGTCCCTGTCGCCGTTTCTCATTCTTTGACGCAAGCACTTACGCCGCCGTGTGTCTTATGGTCGATCTTCCGCGGTCTTCCGTGTCACGTGCTGGCGCTAGGGACGCGCTCACTTTTGGCGCGAAAAAGCGCCTTTTTTGGCGCGAAAAGGCGCTTAATTTTGGCACGAAAATTGCTTACTTTTTGCGCAAGAACACGCTCACTTTAGGCGCGAAAAGAAGCTTACTTTTGGCGCGAAAACGCGCTCTCTCTTGGCGCGAAATTTGCACTGCTGTGGGCTGCGATTGACCGCAGCGGTTGCACGGAAGCTGCACACCGGGCAGATGCAGGCAGATGGCACCACCGCGGCGCCACCGGCACACGTCGTGTCGACATTCTCTGCCGGAGAGCAGCACACTGTAACACACTGTAACACACTGTAGTACGCGTAGCACGGCCTGCGGGGAAACTAGTATAGTGCCCAATCACTGCCCCGGAATCGGGACGAGGCACAGCCTTGTCTGGACGCGGAACGCCACGCTACCGTCTCATTATTATTATTATTGCAAGGCGGTGGACGCGACGTGACGTAACATGAAGGCGGTGGCCGGGCCGGGCCGGGCGCAGGGTAATGACTCGATTGAGCGGCCAGGAGAACAAGATCCCCCTCGTTACAGCCTACGGCCCCAAATTCTATACAATTTGCGTGTTTAGTCAAAAGATCTCCTCCGGCGGCCGCGTGGCCGCCCCTCTTCATCGCCTCGTCGCTCCGCCCGCTCCGGTCCGGCCAGGTCGTCCTCCGCCACGCCCCCGCCCTGGGTCGTGACCGGCCGGGCCGTCGCGCTGTCTCTCTCGCACCCATACGGGATGCCCATGAGTGCGAGCGAGACGCACAAGGCAACGAAAGTTCGGAATCACGAGCATGCAGGATGTGGGCGCGCGGCACGCGGCGGCGTGCGCGACGCCGAGAGATAGAAATAGCGCAGCGTTTGCAGCGGCGGCAGCGGCCCACCTGTGTCATGCTGCCAAACATAACCCAACCTGAAGGAAGGCAAGCTCGCGCTGCGCAACTTGGCCGCGTCCAGCGCTCGGAAGGTGCAGGGCGGTGCAGGGCGAGGGAGGTACACTAGGCAGCTTCGGCTGTCACGACGAAACCCGTCCGGCGTCCGCGTGTCTATTGCTGCCGGGCACGGTGGCATCGCCGGCCCCGGCCAGGGCGAGGACGGCCAGGACGGCCAGGACGTTGCGAAAGGCGCGGGGAAAATTAATTATCGAACGTATCGAAAACGCGTCGCCGTGGTGGCCGAGTCGTGGCCGTGCAGCAAGCGGCCGCTCGGCCCGGGGTCAGCACCGCGGTCAGCCGTCCAGGACTCCGTCCAGGATGACCCCATCGTCGAAAACCTTCCCCGGGGATTATTGCTACAGCGTACGCGCGCGTGGGGGCGTTTGGTGCGTTGCGTCCGCGACATGACCGCGTCGGCGGCGGCTTCCTCTGCCGGTTTCTGGATTTGCTCTGCTCAAATGAGGTGGCCAGGGAGGCGGCCGAGTGAATGTAGCAAGCCGGCGAGCCAGCGTCTCGCGTAGCGCCGAAGCGACTAGACGCGGAGGAAGTTGCACATGTCTCCATCATTCACGGGAGATGATCTCGCGGGCGTCTTGAAAGTTGCCCCCTTCCCGCGCAGCTCTCTCTCTCTCTTGCACCACTAGGAGAGGCCCATGAGTGCGAGCGAGACGGAGCGAGCGCACTCTCGAACAAATGAACGCATCGATACAGCGGGGGGCGTCTGCAAATAGAATGTCACCGGTTGCGTCAACGAGATGATGACGGGCCCCACTTGGCGCAATGCCGTGTCTTTCGGGAACCAACAATAAAAGCAGCGGCGACCACAAAGTCTGCCGGGTCATGCCATACCTGCCTTCCCCCTCGCACCCCCACGGGACGCGCCGTGAGTGCGAGAGGGACGGGGAGGACTCTCCGCAAGCAGCCTGCGGCCGGGCCCTGAGGCCAGCCGGCCCCCTGGGGCGACGTCGCTCACATTAGCGGTTTGGGAATGCAGGTCAGATTCGTCGGGCCGTGAACGCGATGCCATGCCGCCATGCGTACAAGTGGGTCAAGTTTAGTAACACCGCAATTCTTTGGTTTCCGCGAGCTCGCCGAGTCGGCAAACCAATTGGAAATGCTTCCCGAGTATCACTCCAGGAAAGCCTTTCCTCGGGCGCGCTTTGAAATCCACACCGTTCCGCGGCGTAACAGCGGCGTGGCCGCCCTCTTGCTGGCGCTGCATCGCCTTGGCGAGGCGCCACGCGCGGTGCAACGCAGCAACGCAGCAGCGCGACGCCTTGCCGGGCCCATTTGGGTGCATGACAAAGAGCGCACGCCGTGCCGGCCCGGTGCGGGGCCGTGCCGGGGCTGTGCCGGCCCGGTGCGGAGCAAGTGAAAGGACGCCGGACCGGTGCGTGAGACGGCCAGCCAGCCGGCCGGCCGGACCCACGCTGATCTCAGAACCTGTCGGGCCGCCGCTGGGATGGGCCGCTGGGATGGGCGGCTGCCGCTGGGATGGCCCCCGGCCCCCGGGATGGGGCCCTCGCCGTGGTCATTGAGTGCCCCGTCATGCCGCCTCGCCACCGCCTCGCCCCGCCTGCACCGACCCTCGGTCACTGCGGCCTGGCGGCCCGCAGACTGGATTCCGCACAGTGCCTCGTCGCTGTCTCTCTCGCGCCGGAGCAGAGCGGAGCAGAGCGCCCCACGAGAGCGAGGGAGACGGCGCAACGGAGGCACGGCGCGATGGGCACGCAGGTGGACGGCCTGGACAGCTCCGCGGCAGGGCGGGCAGGGCGGCCAGGGCGGCCAGCACCGTGAGGCAACAGGGTCTGCGGGGTCAAGACAGATGCCCGGCCCGAGAAAAACTCCCCCATCAGCAGCCGGTACTTCAATTCTTGACTGGCCGCGCTATAGCGCGGTTGCACAAACTTCAGCATCGGGGATAACGTGGGCTGGCAGTTTACTGAGGGTCCTCCCAGCTCGAGCGTCGGCCCGGCCGCGTGCGATTTCTGGTTCGCGCGGATGGATGTCTGCGTTGCCATCTCGCAGTGTATGGCGTACCCACACTTTAAAAGGTTATGCCTCCGATCGCCCTGGGCAGGCCTCGGCAGCCCCGCGAGCTGGGACTGCCCTGGATGAATGGGCCGCCGTTAATATTCCCCACCGGAAGTCACTGCCTTCTGCGAGGCTAGCTAGCGGCGCCCGTAAATCGCTACAGATCGCGAAGCAAGAAGGCTGCAAGGCGGCGGAGTGGAATGTTTTCCCAGGCTGCCACCAGTGGGCGCCACCGCGCTTCGGTAACGTCGGGAGCGTGACGGATACCTGGCGGTACTCGAACCCACACTGTACGCGCGCACACGGGACAACCAACCTTCGCCCAATCAAAACATGGAACTTGAAAGCCCTCAAACAGGACTCGAACACACTTGCCCCTTCGGAGCCAGCAAGAAGTGTGCTTTCGCCCTGCGGGCAGCACGGCGCAGCACGGTCGGCCTTTGGCGGGAACTTGAACGCGCGTGCGCAGTGCCCGGCAGTGCCGGCACTAGACCGATTCCGAACGGGGCCCTGTCTCTCTCACGCACTCCGGGACGTTCCGAAGGAGTACGAGAGAGACAGGGCGCCGAACCGCCGTCCGGAGTGACCCTTCGCGGTGCGAACGGACCGGACAATGGCCATGTGCACCACGCGGCCGTCGGGCAGGCCGTCGGGGCAGGCCGCCAGGTGGAGGGCTCGAGGTGGGGCCCGGGGCCCCGGTGTGCACGGGGCCGCAGAGCTGCGCCGCAGAGCGGAGGGGCACATTGCCGTTGCCCAACGACCCAACGGGGAAGATGGACGCGTTTAGCTCGTGTTTGCAAAAGCGTTGCCATGCGCTGGCCGGGCCTGCTTGGCCGGCAGGCCGCGCGCGTCCTTCGAGGCCCGCAAATTTCGCTGAGTCGGCGACCGCTGCCCCGCCGGCGCGGGTTCGCCTCCC